AACTAAATTAAAAAGATTTTTTTTTCAAAATTTTACAACTCAGGAAGTTATTATATTTTTTTTTTGTTTATTTTATACAATAAAAGTCATTTTAGTAATATTACTGGCTACTAATGGTTACTACTGATTATTCTTTACACCACCAAAAATATAAATTCAACTGTTCCAAAAATATCTATGTCTATATCGTACAAATTTACAATTGAACGGAATTATATAGAGTAATGGACGAAATTTATCTCATTTTTTTTTCGATTTTCTTGTTTCACCCGGTATATTTACTATCTGACGCTAATAGCAGTACAGGGTGTCTCTGAATCACAGTATCTGGGGAACTAGAAGAGATACAAGATAGGTTAAATGGAGGAAAAGTTGATGATTTTCTGGTAAGATCTTACAAAAAATTGGTTTCTCTAACACACTAATGGGCTCTTTCACTATATTTTAGAATTAGTATAATTGAATAAAGCAATTAATTCTAGAATTTTCAGCTATCTCACTTTCGAAAAATTTGAAGTCGTTCTTAAGAAAATAAATAAAAACAAAAAAGCCCAGAATAAAAATCCACACTTTATTTTCAATACGTCACACCTGGCATGTTAAAAAGCGACAACACGGCCGCGGCCGAGCCAACATGCTGACCCACCACCACCTCCACACAAGGCCATTCAACCTTTTCCAATATGGCGGAGATAGAAGTGCTTTATTTGGCGCGTATTTTAAAACCTGTTTTATTCACAAATAGACATTTTTCATTTGTCGGGTTAGATTACGTAATATTTCACTAATTTTTTAATATACAGGGAGTCTAAAGTTCTCCACATAAGTATGGAATTTTTTATATTATTACTTTTATGAAAACATCAGTTAGTTACTTTTTATAAAAAGGTCTGCTTTCTCAGAAAATAGGTAGTGTTAAAATATTCAAAGGGTGTTCAAAATCATCGGAAAAAGAAATAATCAGAAATATATGACAGAAAATAGCAATATAAACTAAAGATTCAATTGCAAACACTTACCTACCATAGTTTAGAATTTACTGAACTTTTGATAAATATATACTATTATGGACAGTATAGGAAGTTACTGTGTCTTAGTAAAAGCCTTGGTAAATGCTCTTGGAATTATAAACTACATTGACTTAGGTTAAAAAATATTGAATATTTTTTCTATGTTTTGCAGCATTACACAAATGGGAATAAATTTAAACTATAATAGGTGAGGATAAATAAAAAATATAATATGTGTTTCAAGATTTTATATAGAAAAAAAAAACTAAATACCCTTTTGGGGGTTCGTAAGTAAAACTTACGCCTAGCTTAGTTTTCTTTACTCTTTATCTTTACATAGGGCATTGTGTTTGTGGTAAAGACGTCATTCTTTTTTTTTGCATAGTTCTTCAATAAAATATTGGATATTCTGAACAAGATGGATTTAATAATAAATTCTGACGTATGTGAGGGGCAATTGTGACCTAAAAAAAGACTTACATCCAGGCCATTTAAATTTTCAAATGTCAATGTTGTCAATATCTTTCTGTGATCTTTTTGATGTAAAAAGCTTGATTCTTATTCCAATATTTAACTTATAGTGAGGTAAGTGTAAGCAGTAGCCATAACTACATCCTCACTAGGGTAACAGAGGCTTTGGCCTTTGGCCTTTTTGAGGCATATTTAATGCACTTCTTACCCGAGAACTACTAGTAGGAGTGAAATTATCTCTTTTAATAGCCGTCAACCATTTGGAACAGAGCATGTAAAAGGCATGCTACCAATAAAATGTTAATACCTACCCTTTAATACCTATCTTTTGATTATTGTAAGTAACCATTATAAAGTACTATGCAGACTGGCGGCGAAGGCTTTTTACTCATTTAGGTGTAATATCTTGATAAATACTTCTAGTTCTTACCTTAAAATAATTAATAATAGAGGAGTACGACAAGCACAAAAGTTTGAAGTTCCCTATGTGAAATGTCTGGTTTGGATTTTTATTACACTGTTATTTTATCACAATTTTCTGATCACACCATGCACTGAACACTAAGAACTAAACAAACGTGTTGCAGAAGCACAACAAACTAGAGATAATTAATTATTTCTGGTATGCCATCAGAACGAGAAACCACTACCGGCTTTTCAGATTAAAGGTAAACAATTTAATAATGCGCTGCCTTCGCCGCCATATTTGCCTTGCCCATATCATTTTGATTGGCCTTGAGTTGAGGTGGTGCTGGTCAAATCAAATCGCAATGTTGCCAGTTGTTGGCTGGCGCACGGGCACGGTTCTGCAATGCGATTGGGCGTATTTTTCACACGTCATCAATTGGCACTTTAAAATTATTTCAAATTAAAGCAATTTTGAGGGCCTATAAAAAAATTATTCAATGTCATGGAACTATTTTTTTTGGATAAATATATTGAAAATAGTCTTCTATTTCAGATTTTGTCCTTGAATTGGGTATTTTATTTTTTGTGAAAGAGCCCATTCCTGTAGAAAATGCCATTAATTTTTGAAAAAGTGCGATACATCATTGGTTTTGGAACCGTAAAAGCTCTTAAAATCCATAATAAAAAATTTAGGGCCGCATTTAAAAAAAAAGAAATTTGATGAGAGCGGCTCAAACACAAAATGTGACCTGGTACCTCGAATTTGGGACACCTATATATATATATATATATATATATATATATATATATATATATATATATATATATATATATATATATATATATATATATATATATATATATTTTAACTAATTCCACGTTTAATAGATTTTTTACATTTCTCCATGATCATAGAGATCTTAAGTTAAGATCTCAAAAAAAAATCAGATCATAAATATACCATAGATCTTAATCAATCTAAAGAAATCTGTACTATTCTATATCTAGAAAAGTATAAACTATCTAGAACTGCATAGTCTTTTATTTATTTTTAGGGGTTGTTTATTTTATATTTTTATTTCTTTTAATACTGAAAACACTAAGATTTGCTTACGTATAGAACACTTTTGTTAACCCTTAACATACCAAAAAAATACCGTATGATCGGAAAAAAATGGCGTCCAGTTGGCTTGGAAATTGAACATCGAAGACATGCCCCCAATATAATTTTACATATAAAATTTTCATTTCATAGCCATCGCTGACGCCGTTTTTTTTATGAAAAATCAATATATAGGCATACTAAAATCCCTTCTTTGAAGCTATATGATAACATAAAAACTATTTACAGCTAAAGACAACAAATATACAGGGAGTAGATGAATCACTGCCAAAAAAAATACGACAGCTGATTTTTTTTAGAGAAAAAAAAGTTCTTCTGTACAAAATCCTCCTATTCAGCATTTTCAAAATAATATTTTCACTAAAAAAGAGCTAAAGTGGTAGTAATCTGCTAGATTTTTTTTATTTCAAAAATAATTTGGAAATAAAAAAATATATTAAATGAAATAGATGTTTCTACACCCTGTAATAATTAGTCTACCTAGAAACGTCATTTATAGGAAATCATTAGAAACAAAAAAAATAAACATATAACAACTAATGAAAATTATTATCGGTATAATTTTTTTATCATTTATAGATATTATTAATTTTGGATGTAATTTTAGAGAATTCTTGGATTTTTATAGTAGTTAAACTCTAGAATATTCTAAAAAACCTTATTAAGCATCTAATGAGCAAATAATGCTTTATAATATTGGTCTAGTTCGCTAATGTAATATGTTGGCACAAATTTTGAACTAGAATCTTACAACAAGATGTCAAATTTTTTAGAAATACTAGATATACTATTAGATATCATATTATATACAGAGTCTTCATAAAAAGGCTGTAATAAATCGTAAAGGTATTTAATTATTTAAATAAGGGTCAAATTATATGTCACTTCATTAAATGCCACTGTATTTTCCACTATTTCAAAAAAATAACATTCTTTTTAAATCCATATAAAATTTAATTCAAGTAATTCTAAATTGATTTTTTTATGTTTTAAAAATTCTTTTTTTTGGAAGTACTCAAAAAAAATAACTACTGAGCTATGCAATTATGTACAGATGGTTTATAAACACTCCGTATATGCGTGCTATTGTTCCAAAATAATTCGTTGATCTTTTTAATATAAGCATGGATTACAGTTGAGGGTTGGAACCTTTGGTGTTACACAGCAAAATAAAAACACTAAATCACCACAATACACCAAAACACTTTTACTTTTACACTGGACGCGCGTTTCGCTAACCATGTTAGCATCATCAGCAGATGATTATAAACTAAAGTACAATCTACAAGTTGAGCGTTTATATACACGCCCAGTGGGCACCGAGTGGGCGTGGCAAAATCTAGCCAACCGAGTCAGAGCCAACTGAGCGTAACAGTTAGATTTCCGCCACTAGAGTAGTAGGAAAAAAGAACTTGAAGGAATTGGACCGTTGTCTCTGTTCATACTATCTTTACATTTATTAATTCTGATGCTTTCATATGCATCTAATTGCCTGTAATTTGAGGCTTGTTTAATTAATTTTAAATTATTAAGATCTATACAATGTTCTTTGTCAACAATATGTTCGGCAACGCAAGATTTATCCGGTCTACCATATCTTATTTGAGCTAAATGTTCTTTAAATCTAGTGGCGGAAATCTAACTGTTACGCTCAGTTGGCTCTGACTCGGTTGGCTAGATTTTGCCACGCCCACTCGGTGCCCACTGGGCGAGTATATAAACGCTCAACTTGTAGATTGTACTTTAGTTTATAATCATCTGCTGATGATGCTAACATGGTTAGCGAAACGCGCGTCCAGTGTAAAAGTAAAAGTGTATTGTGGTGATTTAGTGTTTTTATTTTGATAAGCATGGATGGAATACCAAAATTAAAAAAGTAAAGTATATTTGATACCAATTAAACTTTTAGTTACGTCATCGAGCGCGCTTTAAATTCAATTTTAATTATTTATTTATTTCACCCCTTCTCGGGGGTGAATTAAAAAAATAATCTTTCACAATTCGTTTTTAGATCTTTCAAAGTTAAGATTATATCAAAAATTCAAGGAGTTTTCTTGGGCATAGGCCTATTTTTTGAAGAGATGAATCCGCCACAGAAGTATAGACAGTTTTTTTTATTTTTAAGATTGATCAACGAATTATTTTAAAACTATAAGACTCAAAAATATTATATATTTTTAGAAGAGTTTTAGCCTCCAAATCGATATAGGTCTTTGGAAAACCGTAACATGCCCTTGCTCCTTACCACCAATAATATAAACATACAATGGAATAAAAGGATCAACATATTCAGCAGGTTCCTTCATTGAACTCTGTTTCTCCAAACTCTTTCCTCTATTCTCGGCCCTTCCAGCACTATGAGCTCTATGCCCCGACCCCTTTCTTAAGTGATTCCTGTGCAGAGGCAAGTTGGCAGGCCTGTCTGACCGACTCGACTGCCTGTAAATGACTTTGGTGTTCTTATCCAGGATGCCGTCGTAGCTGAGGAGTTCCAGAATGTCTTCCTCGTCTTTTGGACGATGTTCTGGCGTGTCTGAGGGAAAGATTTTGTTGAAGGACTTTTTTTCGTCGTTGGTGAGCATGGATTTGTTTGTAGAAGGGCCAAGGTAGTTGGGGTTGCAGAAACCAAAGGGTCCTTCTTTCTGTAAAACAAATGATAAGAAAAAATATACATTACCATACAATATAAATTATTGTCAATGATGGAATTGTTGGAGGTCTAATAAAGCTACAATTTGAAATTATTTTCAAAAGGTACAGAGTGTCCCAAACAAAAAAAAAATATCATAGTTGTATTTTTTTAAATGGAATACCCCGTATATTATTACATTTATAGTTTCTACGATTAAAATAAAGGTAAATTTTAATCTTACCGTTTTTGAAATATTTACGATTCTGTCATAATGCAGTAACAATTTTAAAGTTTCATTTCTCTAAGGATTTTTAAGTTTTTAAAACCAAATATTGAACTGAAGTTTTTCTATTTACTAAATTTTGTGTTGCAATAATAAAAATAATACTACATTATACAGGGTGTCTAAAAATGTGTTTCAAATAAACTTGCGCGCATAGAAATCGGCCCACTGTAAACTTTTCACCTTAACTGTGTCTTTTAGAATCTATTTATCAGACCAAGAAAAAAATATGAGCTGTTTCAAAGACAATTTAGCATGCTTTAATATGAGTATAAATTTATCCAAAGTACTTATCCATTGCCTGGAAACTTATATGGTGAAATTTTGATAAAATAATTTAGTATTCACTAAAAACACGGTATGTCGCTAGTGGTAGGAAAAATAATTTTTAGAGGTTACTAGTTTATTTGGTTGCCTGTGATATGCATATACAGGGTGTTTCCTAATTAATCTAAATAATAAAAATCGTTAGAAACGGCGGGCTCTTAATAAGTATATTTATTTTTTTCTCGGCAACCGTTTGATGAACAAGAAAAACTCAAAAGATCAATTTTGTTGAAAAAGGATGGCCAGTCAAGAAAAAATATATTTTCCTTAAAAAAGCAGTAGTGTACCATTTATGTTAAGCAAAATATCGATTTTTTTTTAATTTTTAACACCCTGTAGATCAGAAAGGAAGTACATTAGACCCAATGGTTATATAAAAATTGGGTAAATTGTTTTAAGAACACATGAGGAATCACACCACAATTTTTTAGACTAATTAGAAAACACCCTGTATATTGTCCACTTGACAATGATTGTTGATAAATCAAAAAATACCTTTTCTGTGAAAAAAGCCCGATTTTCACAGGAAAAATTTTGGTTTTTATCGAATTTGGGCCTGCGTCTGCAAATACCGGTATGTTTTTTAATATTCTATCTATCTAAATTTTAAATATCATAGTCAGAAATAGTTTTATTATTTATTAACTGTAAAAATGGTATACTTATAAGTTTTATCAAATATTGTGATTTACTTTCTACCTTGTAGTCAAAATTTATATTTAATAAACTGTAAAATATATATATTCTTATGTTTTATTAAAGTTAGAAGTTTTTCTATTTACTAAATTTTGTGTTGCAATAATAAAAATAATACTACATTATATTAATATATCAGTGTAACTTTAAAATAAACTTGCGTGCATGAAATCAAATATAAACATAAAAAATATTTACAGCAGAAAAGTGTCTTTTAGAATCTGGGTTAAACGTAGTCTCTACTAAGAACACGGAGGGGCGCTTGGACCCAAAATTTTACTACTAAGTTTCATATCTATCTTAATAGAAGATTATTGTCTTTTATCTATGGTACTTATCGTTTATATGCGTAGCAACGGGTAAACAAATGAAAGGCATTTGTGTTGTGATGACAATAAGAATAAAAAACTTATCAAATATTGCAATTACTACTTTACTGTTACTTTGTAATCGAAACTTGCACATTGTTCTTTCATTGTTTGATTAGTGTTTCAATTTAAGGCATACATCACGGAAAAAAGCTGCCAAAGTAATCGCTTTAATTGAAAATGGACTTACAACAGAGAGCTGTAGCTCGGCAACTACATATGACACGCGGAGCGGTTCGAAGAGTGTGTGAACGATATGAGGAGACTCGATCCTTTCGTAGGCGACCTGGAACTGGTGGAAAGAGATATACAACGGATCGTGATGACCGCTTTATTGTGCCAACAATATTAAGAAATCGGCATCTTAATGCTATTCAGGTGTAACAACAGCTCCGTGGAACACGAGGAGTGACTGTTAGTCAGAGGACTCTAAGACGAAGATTGAAGGAAAGTAACATGACCCCCAAAACACCCGCAATTGGTCCAAAACTTATCTAGTAATATTATCGTTTTTAGCAAAACGATAATATTACTAGCCCATTTGTATGCAAAAAGAAAACTATTTAAATCTTTATAAAAGAGTATACCATTAATTAAATATAACACCATTATTTCCGCCCATATACTAATTAATTACATACTTAATTGTGTTCGTTAATAAATTATTATAAATAAATGTGGATTTGAGTCAGAAATCAATATAATAATAAGTTGCAAATTAAAGTCTCTGTTGTTATAAATAAGCATTTATTAAAAAATGAAATATCATTTTTAAGGTGTTACTTTTTATCACACTGTCTAATGCCCATACAAAATTCAGTTTTTTAGTATTTGGAGCAATTATTATTAATCAATGCAAACAGTCAGTTAATGTAGTTTGAATACTGGATCATATTAATTGGTCCTCTTTAACAAATATTTGAACAGTTTTTTTTTATTTTTTAATGAAATAAACGAATTATATCGACAATATTAGTATCTGTACTCTTTAAAAATTTGGTACATCTTTAAAAATAATCTAAAATGTCAATAGTCCATGGGTATATTGATAAATAAGTTCTAAATTACAAGAAAATGCATTTTCTACGGAAACTTAAAGAGATAGGTAAAAAATGGTATAATATAATTTGATGGACAATAAAATTTTGCATCTGATTCTCCTAAAATATACAGCGTGTTCCATTTAAATTAAACAAGTTATTTCCGTTTGAAGCTAATAATTATTTAAAATAAATTTTTAGACATTCTGTATAAGGTAGTATTATTTTTATTATTGCAACCAATAACTGATCAGTAAATAAACTTCAGTAAATATTTAGTACTAAAAACTTTGATACCCATAGAGAAATGAAGCCTTAAAATTTTTACTGCAATTTCACAAAATTGAAAATATTTCAAAACCGGTAAGGTTTAAGTATAATAAATCTTAATCAAATTTACCTTTATTTTAATCGTAGAAACTAAAAATGTAATAATATACAGGGTGTTCCATTTAAAAAAATACAACTTTGATATTTTTTACTTATTTGGGACACTCTGTATCTTGTAAAATTATTTTTAAATTGTACCTCTAATAGTCCTTCATTGAACCCAAAACTTACAATTTGTAAAAGTTTCATCGTTTAGCTACAATACTCCGTGTCGTATGTGGTGAACAACCCTGTATAGAACACCCTGTATATTTTACGAGAATCAGATGTACAATTTAATTGTATGTCAATTTTATTATACCTTTTTTTACCTTATCTCTTCAAGTTTTCGTAGAAAATGCATTTTCTTATAATTTAGACCTCATTTATCAATACCCATGGAATATTGACATTTTGGGGAACACAATATATCTATACCAGAAAAATCAAGGTTATTAACTTCTCACATTCAACATACTTACCACTGTTTCTTTATTTTCTTGTGGAGTATTTGTCTTCACACTATAACTACTCGCTGAAGACAGGCGATTCACAGTTTCTATACTGTAGTAGTCTGAAGTAGAAGATGCAAGTTCTTCAGATTTTTCGATCATTTCCTGATAGAGGGGGTTGTCAGCGTAACCCAGGTGAGAACTGTAACTATCAGCACGTTTCAGAGGCTTCAAATTATCGTACTCGTCTTCAGTCTCTTCAGATTCGACCTAGGTAATATAAAAGTAATAAATATCGATACAAATCTCTCTACCCAAACTGAATTTTTGAAATAATTGAGTCTGTCGAAAAATAGTGATAAATTTTATATTGGTGAAACATCTAGACCCGTAAATGTTCGAATTAAAGAACATAAAGATTATTTAAGAAAGGGAGATTTTCACAAATCTAAGATTTGTCAGCATTCATGGAACACAGGACACTGAATAGATTTTAACAATGCACAAATTATAATGAAAACACGACAGACCTCTAAAAGAAAAATAAAAGAGGCTTTTTTGATACAATCTAATAAAAATAAATGTATTGCTTATGCATCTGTAGATGTTAGTAATGTATGGCAATCGCATCTTTGATTTTAAAGAACATAACATACGCAAAAATTAAAAACTAATTAAAAATAATCATACAGAAAGTTTGAAGCTTTTTAGTTTTACCTTATTAAGTAATTCTTATCAGGTAGTAATTGTTAATTTTGAAGTTTAACTTGATATAATGTCATTTTAACAGAACGTCAACGGTTTTTGTAGACGTATCTGTTTAAAAAAACTAAAGTGTTCTCGAAAAGTTGCATTTAGATATTTTAAATAGTTTTTTCTTTGTTCTTTGTATTTTTTGCTTCCCGACGATGGAAAGAGATAGTATACTTTCCGAAACGTTAAGCATTTTTTGTCTGTTAGAAAAATTCGTTTAACGCAGCAGTATTTACAAAAAATAACTATTTTAATTGTAGATTTTTTTACAGTGGCGAAATGCCCATAGGACTTTTTTGGAGAGATAGTCAATTGGTGTCAAAAAACTCTACACACAATAAGGCAAATTAACAAAATAACTGTATCCTGTAAATTATTACCTCAGGTGTATTTTTGACAGCCGATGCCTTAGTCTCCACGTCAGTCTCCTCATCAGTCAAATAGACCAACTTCGAAGCTTCTACTGGGGTGAGTACAGGAGTTGGCAGCGTCAGCATACTGAAGTTTGGCACTGATATCGGTTCCCTGGGGATTTTTTTGATGTTGCTGTCAAATTCCACGCGTTTCTTCCTGGACACTTCTTTGACTTGTTCTTCTTCATCTTCTTCGGTTGTTGTTGGCGAACTGTCATGGTACTTCTTCTTGATGACGTAGGCCGATTTGGATTTTACCATGGTTCCTATGTAGTTAGGGATGAAACTATAGGTATTTTGTGATTTATTACAATATAATATTTTGCTAATACTATATTGTTTTTTTTTATTAGGAGTAAAAATGATACTTTTTGCGGCAGGCTGTACACGAGGAACAAAAAGTAATTTTTACTCCGAATAGAAACGCATGCTATTTTTTTTTCAAACGCCACACATAATTTTTTAAACAATTTTAAACGTTCCAAATAAAATAAAACTATTTAAAAGTAATACTTTGTACAATGCCTTCTATTAAAAGATCAGCCTACGGGCGAGATTTATGACGTCACGCTAGTTAGATATAACGGATTAATAAATATGTTGTAAAATACATGGAAAACATAATTATTCCTCAGATTTTTGGTTTGTATTTTAAAAATGATATAGTTTAAATGAAATATACATAATATACAGTTAATAACTACAACATATATACCTATTTATAGTAATAAATACTTTGGCAAATAAACTATGAACCATACAAATGCAGCAAATGTTTTACAATGTACAAATAATGTATAGGTACATAAGATAATGGGTAAAATGTAAATATATTTTAAATTTTGGGGTTTGAAAATCGATCTAATTTAACAAAAAACATTTAATATCTACTAATAGTGATGTATTATTATTTGCATTCACAAAATTTATATTTACAAATAATACAATATTATCTAAAAAAAGGCGTCAGCGATGGCTATGAAATGAAGATCGCTGGCATTTTATATATTAAATTATTCTAAAATTTTTGATTTTCTTGGGATTTTTAGGTTCGGGAAAAACGCTGATTAAGTTTTCATTTGGGTTTCATTATTTTTATTTGGTTTAAAAAAAACGTTTCGGCTAACTATAGCCTTCATAGTGTTGTGTCATATGAGAAAAATAGAACGAATATAATCCAAAAAATTACATATACAATATAATTCACACCTCATAATGTTTACTGCAATTAATAAACTAATATAAACTTATCAAAAGATGACCACATATTTTTAAAATTATTATTCTTAACACTAAAATTATCTACATTGACTATGGAATACGCAGTAAACATTATGTGCGTGGTGTGAATATTTTTATATGCAATTTTTGGATTATATTCGACACTATTTTTTTCATATGACACAACACTGATGGAGGCTATATGTTAGCTGAACCGTTTTTTTTTAAACCAAATAAAAATAATGAAAAACAAATGAAAAATCAATCAGCGTTTTTTCCGAATCAAAATTCCAAGAAAATCAAAAAATTTAGAATATTTAGAATCAAGGTTCAAGAATATCAAATTTTCCAAGATTGTAAAATTCTAGTTAATTATTTTATGTGTACAGTTATTTAGGGAATGGCATCGATGTTCATTTCCAAGCCAACTAGACGCCGATTTTTTTCGATGATACGGTATAATTCTTACGTAAAATGTAAATAACATTAGACCAATTAAAACAAAAGAAATATGAATTTCTTAGTATTTTTAGTAACACCTTTATTCTTAAAACTTAATTTTGTATTATGCAAATATACCAATTTTATTGTTATTTTATTCATATTGTATTCAGCCATCACTTTTCGAAATATTTGATATTAATTTGGTATTATAAATAATCAATACTATTCATTAAAAATTACTGAACAAATATATGTTATGCTTAACATACATTATACAAAAATCTTTTTAAAATTTGAACTCAAAATAATAATCTTTTTCATGATCTCTAATACACATATTCTTTATTTTTCCCTAGATCATAATACCTACTTACGTGTTTGAATCTATCGAAGCTGAACCAGCAACACTTGGAGTGGAGATTCCACAATATGAATAAAATAAACATAATTGTCCAGTTTTCATTAATACCATCATGGGAGAATATTATTTTTAAATTTATTAAAGATATTTTCAATAAAATTCTCTTGATTTATAACTCGTACCCACTTTTCTTGCTCTTCCGGACACTTTAGGCTGCCTAGTATAATAACTATCCTTTCCACCAGGAACACAACAAAGATGAGGCATAGCACCAAAAAAACACACTCCACTTAAGCTTTATTGATGAATTGTTAGAGTCTTAAAAAGTCACACACAAAAATCACGATAAGTAAAAAAATCACTTGCACAACGATGTAATTTTTAAAATTTCTATTTTTTGTGCGAAACCGAGAGGACCATATATCTGGTAGTAGTTTATGTCACTTTTGCTACCAAAATAATCAGTTTTTTGCACTACAATAATAAATAATACCAAAAATCAAAGAGTTAAAACCAAAAATCAACCGACAAAATATGAAACGGAATCTAACCCAATATCTAAGTATGTACAGCTGATGAAGTAAACAAAAGTCCGCCCGTAGGCTGATCTTTTAATAGAAGGCATTGCTTTGTATGTAATTATACATATATTGAGAAACTATGGTTACGTTCGTTGAATTTGACACTTTATGTCATTTTAATAAATATGTTTAATAATATATTTTCATACTTTTATGCTTAGACCATAGGCAAACAAATAAAAAGAGACTGGCAAATTAAATCGCAAAGAGAGGGGCAACGTTCCCGTAGCGCAACTCAGAACGCAAAATTTCGTTCTATTTATGTTGATCTGCGCATTGCGTTTATTGGGTCCACTATCTCATTCTAATATAACAAGAGAGAAAGAAGCAGCCATATAAAACGTAATTTCTAAATATAAATTAGAACAATCGCCTTTCGTTTTCGTCATCATGACAAGCAAGATGACAACATCATGACAATTCGTCATGTTTGTTAATTTTTCTTTTGGTGATTTACCTTTTTCTCTAAACTATCCATTTTATTGACTTATGAATATGGATATAGGGAACAAATTCCTTTGTTCCATATAGGTATTTATATTTTGTTACTTATAATTTTAGGTTATACTATTTGTTATTTTATTTGCTGCAGGAGCCAGTATCATCTATTTTCTATATGTATTGGTGCCCCCTTTCTCTGAGAGATATGTCAAAGACACCCAGTAAAATAAACGTAAGTAGTTATATTTATCATCTTATTAAGAAAAAAGTATAAGTAGTTGTGTCAAAAATATTTCGAACCTCTCTTAACATAACAAATTAATACAATTAATTTTTTTCATTTTTTGAGTAGGTAGTTTAAGCTGGTTTATAGTAACCAGAAACTTTATTAATATACCTATTTTACTTTTGTTTTAGGATTAAAACTGGACTTGAAAATGGTTCAGGATCATGATTCTCGTAAAGTCTTCTTTGCTTGGATATTCACTTTGTTATTGCAATTAGGCAGTTTTTCGAAAATGAGATTTTAATGCCCTTTAAAAAATTGGCCGATCGTTTCCTGCAACAGTCAGTTCTTCTGCATTTAAAATTGGTAGGTGGGTGGAATAAACACTGTTATTTTTGTTATTCTATTATAAAAAGTCTATTTATTTTTATGTATAAATAAATAAGTTTACAAAACAGTACAATTTTGCTTTTTTTTATAATTTCCCTTATAATAGTAGTATTCTTTTCGTTCTGAAAGAAACTGCAAATTTTCATTAACTGATTTATTCCCTACACCACGTTCCTTTTACGTGGTATAGGGAATAAATCAGTTTAAGTGAAAATTTTCAGTTTCAGAATGAAAGAATACTACTAATAATGGCTAATTTAAATTTTCCGCCAGCCAGAATGTGCGATAATGTCTTACGATACGTTTTATACCTATCTCTTTCTTTTTCATATAAAGCACACATAATAAAGAAAGATGCAATAAAGACGTACGTCCTGCCATGGTCCTGCTAATTGGTTTCAAAATTGTTATTCTGAGTTGCGCTACGGGAACGCGGTCCCACTCTTTACCATGGGATTTGTCAGTCTCTTTTTATTTGTTTGTCTATGGCTTAGACCATAGACTTAAAATAAAATATAGACTGAGCATCTCATTCATAAATAGCTGGAACATGCGTTCAGACAATATCTTGTTATTGTTGTGTTATTGTTTTAGGTTATAACGAGTGCGACACGAGCGATAGATAGGTTGTCTCTGTCGTAACGGTCGTTCCCTGACGACTCTGCCGAGAAACACAACACTGTCTTTCGTTTCTCAAGTACACCTGAACTCTCCGTATCATAGCCGGGTATTTTTTTTATTTTAATGAAGCTATAATTAAATTAAAAATATATCGTATTTAAACTTTTTTATATTTTATTAAGATTTAGGACAGGTTTTTAAATAAAAATTTAGAAAAACGTCTTAGAGTCCAAAAGGATAAAAATAATAAAATACACGTTATAGAAGAAATTTTATAATCCAAATTACGTAATTTTTGAAATTAATAATAAATTATTAATTTTAGTCAGACATTTACAACCCCTAATATTAATCAAAACAGGATCTATTCCACAGATATAATAGAATCGGCGACAGGGAGAAAAAAAAATATGATTGTTGTAATTTTTTTTCTGGTTAAGTGATGTCTTATTATGTAAATTAGAGAAAACATAAATCTGTTCCATTAAAGCAAGGAAGATGATAGGAAGTGGATAAAATGAAAACTACATTTATTTAACTCGGTACTGTCTTTATTATACCGGGTGCGTCCCAAAAGTGGCTCATCTCCATAATTTTTTATATTTTCAAATAAAAAAACAAGATTTAGTATGTTAGTATATGACATAAATTAGGATTGATTGACGCATTCAATTGTTTTTGGTCACTTCCTGTTTCACCGGAAATGACTATAACTTTTAATTTTTAAACGGCACCCTCGGTATATTTCTACTTTATTCGATAGAAAATGACACTCTGAATTGAATGACATATCATATGTCAACTTTTGACATTTTCGCATATGGTTTAATTGTAATTGTAACACGCGGTTCATAACGACAATTTGACTCGAAATACCATGTGTGTGGTATCAATATATTCATAACATAATGCTTTTTCCAAATATGCTAATGAGTCACCCTTGTTCGTTCACCCCATTTGAAAAAATTGACATATGTATGATTAAAAATACGATTTGTACATCTTTTAACCGGCCTAGACAAGACACGAAACCCATTAGACGATCAAAACTATTTTTCCAAGGCTCCTTGATTAAAACTTAGTGTTTTTAACAACACCATGACACCCTGGATTGAAATTTAAAATACGATTTGTTTTTAAGCGAAAATGTCGAAAGTTGACATATGATATGTCATTCTATTCAGAGTGTCATTTTTTATCGAATAAAGTAGCAATATACCGAGGGTGCCTTTAAAAATCAAAAGATGTAATCATTCGGTGAAACAGGAAGAGACCAAAAACAATTGAATATGTCAATAAATCCTAATTTATGTCATATACCTACTAACATACAAATCTGTTTTTTTTTATCTGAAAAAATAAAAAAGTTATAGGGGTGAGCCACTTTTGAGACGACCCGGTATATTAAAAAATATTGTTTCATAATGTAATATCATTTTAAAATTCTTGTATGTTATTTTAGATTCTCAAGATAATTTTAGAATAAACCGGAATATATTTTTAATAAAAACATTATTAAGTATTAACAGGGTTATAATTATGATTTTGTTACAATGTAAGTAAGTAAATAATGTAATGTAAGAGAAAAAATTCAGATTTTACATTTTACTAAAATATTATCTAAATAAGCGCCTTTCTACAACAACGCCACTGACTCCTAATGGGTAAATTGAGAGTTGCCTACCGGTCGAAAGTCGTTTCAAGACTTAAATGGATTATTTAAGTCAAATTTCTTGCAAATTTGGCACTGACGAACCATATTTTATAGTTCTTGAACAGAAAAAGTCAATAAAATAAACACTTAAGGACTACAAGCTAAGAAAATGCGTTAATACAGCCGGGGACATAGCGGCAACAAAGCTTTACCGCACACGTGCCACGCGTACTACAAGGTAATAAATGAATGAATAGGCTCCCTCGCCTCTAATCGGTGTTGTCATATTGTAAAGAACTTATTCTTTTTAAACAGTATCCGACTTATAATTTAGTAGTATAAGGACTATTTAATACATCTATGGAATACTAAAACGTACTTTATTAAACTGTAGTATTAATATCTCAATATATGTGTATAATAAGAAAAAAAATATTGATAATATTAAAGACGTGACAACATAGGCTGGATGACAAAGGCTCGGTCGACTGTACCCAGAAGTAAACATGTGTACAAAAAATATTGTTTGACCGCGTTGAGATGTAAATAGCGTAGTCTATATTTTATTTTAAGTCTATGGCTTAGACCTTTGGTGCTTTACTTTTATGCCTAGTTGTTAAAATGACTTTTTTATATTGACAATCACGTCGCAAAAATTAATACTTTTGTGGCGCTTGTTTATTATTGTGTTGCAAGCGTTAATGTAGGCAGTGTTTATCAGCCTATTGTTCCATGTTAGCCATTCAGAGAGGAACATGGAAGATTATTAACTATGTGTTTTTCGAATTCCCCCATTTATTTCATATTGAATTTATTATTCTACTTGGCTGATACACACTGTGGATGTTACTGTTCAATAGCGCGCATAAAAAATACCCTGTATATTAGAAAAGCTATACAAAATTGTTTAAATAAATATTAATAATGCGAAAAGCTATTATTTTGAAGCCTATTGATAATAAATAATACATATATGTCCTTCATTTAGATAAATATGAAAGTATTATATTTATTTATTCTCATATACAAGGAAACTTAAAAAGTAAAATGATTAAATTTTCTAAAATATTTAAAATGATCTTTTTTCTCATATATTATCAAAATTCTTGAATGTATATTAATAAAAGGACATATATACAGCGTGTAACATTGAAAAATAAAAAAAAAAATAGAATGATTTAACCTTATTTTTTACCTGTTCGTATATACCTAACGAAACAGGCGAGACCTATTTTAAAATAACCTAAAATAACTGTGTTAAGTAAAAGTGTAGCAAGTAAATGTTTTTTCTTAAAAATAATATAGTTCCAAAGGCTTATACTCAAAAAACCAGTTATTTAAAAGAAATCTTTACAGCACTTTTTTTTCTTTACTTTCTTTTTGCAGTCGAACATTATTGTTCTTTTTAGAACCTCTTTTAAGTGTGTCTCAAGATTAACTACTACCTGACGATATAAAACTGGCCCTGAGTGGCATTTGAAACTAAAGACAACAAGCTAACATATATAAATGCATTAGCTTATTCTCTCACTATGATACACTATTTTATAAATTAAAATAAATATTTTTAATAAAATATATCATACTTACCCCTTGATGGCGTCATATTTTGTTCTGGCTCAGCCAGGGTTGTGTTGATTTCCTGCTGAGGACTTGAGTGCTGCCTTAGAAGGCTTTCAGTACTATCTGTAGCCCTTCCCTTGGATAATACTGTGTAGTTACACTTATTGCTAATCTTGGAAATGTTAATTTGGGATAATTTCGTTATTTCTTGGAGAAAGCTGGTCTTGGAAGATCGGGCATCGGAATATTGCTGAACTAAATTGCTACCTGGAAGAATCAGTGTTTTTTAACTATTTTTTATGTTTCAAAAAAATATTGAAATAAAATGCCACAAATATCCCTATACAGAGAAGACCAGGCTACTAGCACAAATTAACTACAACGATGCGAAAGAACACCGAATTACGCGTTCAGGTTTCTGTGACCTTCAGAAAGAGTTCATAGACAATCCGCATCAATGTATAGTTTGGGTTATTATTTGTTTGGGTGAAAATAATCTGCACCAATATATTATCGAGGCATACAAAAAGGTCCACAGACTTCGAGACATACGAAAAATCAAGTCCATTTAGCGTGTGTCGCAATTTTCACACCTTAAAAAATTAGTTTTTATAGCTATAGCAACTGCAGCGACTATGAAAAAAGCTGTGTGATTTTCATAGAAAATAAGGGCACCTGTAATTCATTTGAGAATGTTATAAATCGCTAAAAGAGGTTTCAAATCTCTTGGATTTCTATTAATATTAAATAACTTTTATTAAAAATTGAACTAAAATTGTTAGTATCATTAAAAACAATTCAAATTCAAAAATTGTATCAGTCAAATTCCCTCATTTAAGGTGAATATTAAAGTAAATATAAATACAGCTCATTCGAAGCTCTACTTATCTTTAAGAAAAATTTAAATCATTGTTGCAATTGGGCCTTAATGCCATTTCGAATGAACAATAGTATTAATAATGTACATTATAATAATAATAAATTTTATATCATAGTGTGTATTAAAACTACTAAAACACTTTTAAATTGGTATTATATTAACAACTTTTGTTTTTTAATCCAAAAAAAGTTACCAATTTTCTCAATCAAAATATTTGTGGTCCTGAAAAGGACCTTCGTTTTCCCATGTTCGTCAAGGTAGGTAATGGGTAAGCGGTAAAAAAAACAGGATAATGAAATTTAAAAAATTACAAAAATTGTTCAAAAGTGCCTCCCTCTTGCATTAAACCAAACGATCATAAAATCCCCTCCTCACATTGGATAACATATCAGGGGTGACAGTCTCAAAGGCATTAAATATTTTCTGCTCCAAGTTTTGAATTTCTTCATGGCCGTAAATTTTAGATTTTATGTACCCCCATAAAAAGAAATCATTCACCGAGAGGTCAGGTGAAATTAAACGTCAGTCTAAACAAAACTGTCATTTTTGAAAACTTGTCAAAATTTGGATACACGCTAAATGGACTTGATTTTCCTATGTCTCGAAGTCTGTGGACTTTTCTGTATAATCTCACAGTAATTTAATAGATTGCTCGTCATATTATATCAGCTCGTAGGAGATTAGGAAAAAAAAAGATATTTATAGTATAAAAAATTAATTTATTTAACAAAATTTAATTAAAGATGTGACAAAATAGTTACATTTCTATTGGTTCTATCGGACTTTTTTCGACTATATAAATCTTTATTTTTTGTAAACTTTAATGCATAAAATATTTTCAATCTAATAAATAATTTAATGATGTAATAAGAGGAAATTTCTCACATGAGTGGTCAACTTCTATAGTTTTCATTATATCAAACAGCCTCTGAATGTTTTCTTCAGTGCAAAACTCATCAAAATTTAATATAAATAATTTTTCCAGCCTGTAAATAAAATGAACACATTTTTCCACTTTCATGATCAAAGGCTTTTAAATGGGTAAATAATTTCGAGTTATCCAGAGATTCGGATTCTTTTGCAAATTTTAGACAAACATCACATTGATGTATTTGAAGACCCTCTTTAATGATGTAGTCAAACATAATTAAAGGCATTTTAAGTTGAAAACATTTCTCAGAGGCTGTTTGATATAATGAAAACTATAAAATTTGACCACCTATGTGAGAAATTTCCTCTTGTTTACATCATTAAATTATTTATTAGATTGAAAATATTTTATGTATTAAAGTTTACAAATAAAGATTTATATAGTCGAAAAAAGTCCGATAGAACCAATAGAAAGGTAACTATTTTGTCACATTTTTAATTAAATTTTGTTAAATAAATTAATTTTTTATACTATAAATATCTTTTTTTCCTTATGAATAAAAACATTTGCATCCCATTTTAAATAAGATATACGAATTACCAAAACTTAGAAATAACAGTTCAAAAGTTCAACAAAAATCCTACACGCGTTTTTAAAAAGAAACATATAACCACGCACTATGTCATTCCAGCAAGCGAATACGACACAGCATAGGTTTCCGGACTAAACGACTGGTGTATTTACACCACTCAATAGGCGTGTCGGGTTTGCCGGGCCGTTTCCGATGCAGTCGCTTTCTTTCGCATCTGTTATAGGCAATTTGTGCTACTAGTAACATAGCAAGTTGCCGGACGAATTTACGTTTACCCGATTTGCGTTCGTACTCGAGATTCACTGCCGGCTAGTCGGCTGGTCAGACAGTACGCAGTTGCAGTTGTGCTTGGACGGGTCGGTCGTGACAGACTAGGAATACGACGCGAGGAGTGCCGAGTATTTATTATTTTCATTTTAAATGTTTACCTTCAGTTAAGGTAACATTTAAAATAAAAATACTTAAATATTTATTATTTGAGTATGTTTACAAGCCAAAACTAAAAATAAATAAATTCTCTAAACCCAAAAAAAAACTAAAATATTACTCTAAATAAAAAGAAGTTATAACAAGTGTTCAAAAAGACCACCTTCTTGTGTTAGACAGAAGCCTAGGCGATCGTATAATCCCCATCTGACATATTAGGGCTAATAGTTTGGAAAGCCTCTCGTATTTTTACTTGAAGCTCATCCAGATTATTAGCCCTATTATGACCATACACTTTGGATTTTACATAACCCCACAAAAAGAAATCATTGGGAGAAAGATCTGGTGATCTAGCGAGCCACAAAATAGTTCCATATCCACTAATTAAACGGTTGGGAAAAGTATTGTTCAAATATTCTTGAACAATACGGGCATTGTGGGCAGGGCAACCATCTTGTTGAAACCAGACATTGTGGAATCTTTCTCCCAATAACTCACGAATTCTCAGGACAATCTGCTGTAACAAGTCCAAATACTTTGCAACAGTTAAATTACCCTCTATAAAAAATGGACCAATCATATGCTCCCCTACAAAACCACCCCAAACATTTAGCTTTTGAGGATATTGCATGCGTACCTCAAAATATCTGTGCAAATTTTCCCGAGACCAATATCGTACTTGTGTAGGGTTATGCCGACTCAATAAAGGAAAACTTGATTCGTCGGTGAAAACTATACGCCGAATAAAGTTTTCATCTAAATTGGCCTTTTCCATTACAGATTCACAAAACGCCATACGCCGAGATTGGTCTTTTCTGGACCAATTGGAAAATTTCTTGAGTTTTGCGCGCTTTATACGATCGGTATCCATTCCTTTTAAGGACTCTTTTAACCGTGCTAGGTGAAGAATCTGTTACCTCAGCAATTTGATTACTTGAAAACGTGGGATTTTGATCCGCGGTAGCATAAATGAACACTTGCTTTAACTCCTGTTCTTCATTAATCAACACAACAGGCCTTTTGTGTTTTTGTGGGGACACGCACCCATGTGTTTCAAAATTATTAATAAGTCTTGATATAGTAGGTAAAGATGGAATTGGCCTGTTTACAAAAGTTTGTGGAAAAATTGTTTGTATACCCTGATAAGACCTATTTTGGAAATACCATTTTACAATTTGAATTTTCTCACGAACTTCGTAAACATCCATTATTTTACTCAAAAAATAAAAAATCGGTAAAAAAACTTTTAAGTTAAACGGTTTTATCTTATGTGCACTGAAAACTAGAAAATAATAATAACAATTAGGTATTTTGAACTTCTAGTTCAGAAATATTTTAGTACTAGGCAGAATAGCTTTTAGGCATATTATAGACTAAAATAAAAACGTGGGGCCCCTCTGAAATCCTACCTATGGCAAAGCATATCTTTATACTTTGGTAGATCATGAGCTCGGCGTTCGCTGGTGAAGCCGTCACGGCTGGTTATTGATTGTCAAAATCTCCAGTTACGATTATAGTAAGTCGATGCAATCCACACTTAGTATAGAAGAAAGTATTACAGCAATAGTTAATGGGCCCCACGTTTTTATTTTAGTCTAATATGCCTAAAAGCTATTCTGCCTAGTACTAAAATATTTCTGAACTAGAAGTTCAAAATACCTAATTGTTATTATTATTTTCTAGTTTTCAGTGCACATAAGATAAAACCGTTTAACTTAAAAGTTTTTTTACCGATTTTTTATTTTCTAGTTTTTAGTATTTAACGGAAATGCCTACCGAATATTCCTCATTCTATTTAATTCATTTAGTGCATCATTATTACATGGTTTTTTACCTGATAATTTATTTGTCACTTTCTTTTGCACGTTTCGTTCTATACTTTTCTTTCGCCTTTTCGAGCCTTCTTTTTCGTTGTGTAGCAGTTTCGTTTTTATTTTTGTTTGTTTTTTTATTTATTGTTTCCATGTTGTTCCCACGAGTAATGGACATTTTAACGGTCGACCCCCCCAGAGGTTCAGTAGAGGGGCAAGGCTATAATATACAACAAGAGGCGCCCAATCTTGAGGGGAAAACGCTTGCGACATTACATTTTTAGCCACCCTAATGCCATACAGTCCTCAGCACGTTTTAACCTATTACCTTAACTTGGGTGGTAAAGCTACCGCTAACTACTTAGGTACATCTAATCACCTATTTTTTATCTGTCCTTCTAACGTCACAAAATCTTGGACACAACTGTTCTGGACACGACTACTCATGCCCTCACCTAATACGCCATTTTGTAACGACGTCCATCTTGGATTTTAAATTTTGTCATAATCACAGTATTCTACTAGTGTAGCCCTTTCATTTGATACCCATATTGAGAGGGTTGTGGAAAAATATGAAATCCGCCATTTTGTACCAGCGGCCATCTTAGATTTACAATGTTATTGATATTACTATATTGTATTGTCATCGGAACTAAAGGTGTGTATCAAATTTCAGATCAATCTGACAACAGGAAGGTACTTAAATTTCAATTTCTAATTTTGACCCAAACCAATAAATAAATACCGTACGGGTCGAGCTAAATAAAACCGTTTAATAAATTTTACACGAGAACTGCCGCGAGAATCTATGTATTCGTTTTGTCTATTAAAACACGAATAAATACAAATTCTGAAACATTCTTATCACATATCTACCTATTTTTAAAGTACGTCTGCTAGATCTGTGTCTATGAAAGGAATGCGGACAAAAAACATTTAAATAAACAGCAATATATTTTATACGTCGACTTAACGAGTACGTCACCGCAAATCGCTCCGCCCACTTATTTTATTGGTTTCTTGCAAATTTGTCGAATTTTTATTGATGGAACGCGTCGTCTAATTTTTTACGAAAAACATCGAGAGAATATCGTTTCCCCTCTCACGGATACCCCGTAGCTACAGAACGGACAGACGTACTGTATTTCATCGCTTTTTTTCGACTGCTTTTTATCCCGCGGACGGGGATACGCTAATTCGTCCGGTTCTGCCTATGTTATTACTACAGTGGTCCGGTCTGTATACTTACCATCAGTATAGTTGAATTGTGAAGGTTGAAAGACATATGTGTTTTCTGAGGGAGCTACTCGGTTATTAGGAAGGTATGAAGAATGCCTGTTGCCTCTGTCCACCGAATTACAGGTCCTAGCTCTGATCCTGACTGTTTTTGACTCAAAAGAAGCCTTGGAGGAACCGTTCAGTAATAATTCTGAGACTATCAACGCTCTGCTTTCTGATCTGGGTTGAGGTTTCACTCCGTTGATCACGATCTTTTCCCATGATTCTACATCTGTCAAATAATGTTGCTTTTATCATAAAAATAATAATAAAAACCTTTCTACATTAAACATATACCAAATGTCAAGGAAAACGGTTTACAAATGTTCTTAAAAATAAACAAGATATATACTGTGCACAACCTACGTGATGGATTACTGTTGTCTTTGAGTGTTACAGAAAAAAAAATACATTAAAATTAGGAAAAATATAAAATTCCGGATACTTTCTAGACGGACTATATTATTTTTTTAACCTTTCAAGAGCTGTAACATCTTCGGGAAGCATTTTAGGGCATTTTTTCGTAGGAACTTTTTGTTTTATTTTTATCTGTATAATCACCCACCAAAGTTTTTTTAACACCCTTTATAGTATGTCTCTTAAAGCATTTTCAAACAGATTAAAGTGGTTTACCAAAAATAAACTTCCACAGATCGTTGGAACTTTGCCCATTCCTTTCACCACCAAACAGGATCATGGAAGAAGGCATTTTACAGCAAGCATGACTGTGGAGAGGTCCAGGATTCACTTTGGTCTTGATATTCGTCCAGATTTTCGTGTAAAAGTCAAACTTCCACAAATCGCTGCGTTCTTGAAGGTCTGTCATGCCTAGAGTTGATAATTTTTTATGTAGTTTAAATTTGTAGAAAATTAATAACATTACAACGATAATATCATTGCTAATTCTAAGAGCCCCCATAGACGCTCAGTTTTTTAACACAGGCGGATTGTGCAGGCAAGTTTGCGCAGTTTAACTATACAGTTTTACTTTAAATTGTTGCTTTTTAAGACTTTGTTTAGTTTTTTTTAAGAAAGAGCACTTTTTGAAATACTCTAATGTTATATTTACCTCCATATATCCAAAGAGTTTCTTCATGAATAGCTGCAGAATGCTTGTGGCGTGATGGTGGACATTGCTCAGAACTCTTGTTAGGAGGAGTGAACACCAAATGCCAAGATTCAGTGTCTAAAAAACAACAAAGCATTATTTTTATTTAATAATACCGATTAGTAATGTCATTTTCACCCTGTATATCACCAACAGGGGTGTGAATATAATATAGGCAAAACCAGCTGTCCTGCGCATCGTTGCCAAATCTGAATAAATTTCCCCCAATTTTGAGTAAAAAATAATTATACTGATTAATTAATTACTTCGAAACTACGAAAATGCAATATTTATTTTATTACTTTGCCAATTTTTGCCTAGCCTTTTTTGATTTGCACTGCACGTCACTGTATCACAAGATATACAGGAAATAACAGAAAGAACTATCATATAAGCCACTAAAATTTTGCAATAATAATAAAAAATACAATATTTACCAAAATGAAAGGCCCACAAATCACCACAAGACCCTTTCAAATCCTGATATCCGCCATAAATAAGCATAGCGCCATTATGCACCAGTGCTGTATGTCCCCGGCGACCTTTCGGCGTTGCCACACCTACAAAAAATCCTTAAATCTAAAGAAAAAAAATCGTAAAAATCTAAAAATGTACCTTTTTTGGTTTTTACTTTTCTGAAACTGTTGTTTCTGATGTCGTAGACCCACAGAGGTGTTTCTGTACTGGCTGAAAAGCTGACTTCTCCCCCAAATACGTAGATATTGTCTTTGTAAGCTACTGCTGTGTGTTCTTGTAGAGAAGGTAACTTGTCTCCTGTTGGTTTCAGTTGTTGCCATTTGCCAGTAACTGAAATCAATTCGACAACGTTGCATTACGTAAAATAACTCGTTAAGTTAATTCTACAGTATTACTCATTAGTTTTTAATTAGTTATTAAAACTTATTATTTTTTTATGTTGTAAAGAGTATAGAAACAGTTCTTACAATAATATTTATACACTATACTTTAGGATACATTAACATCTCTACATCTACATCCCCCATTAAACTTGGTAACACTGATACAAATAGGTGAGAATCATAGAACATTAAATTATGAAAAACTATTTATATTATAATATTTAAATAAAATAATAAAGAATATTCAAAACGATAAGTGTAATAATGTATCTCAAATTTTACGTGTCAAAAAAAGGCAAGAAAAATTATATTTACGCTGGTTACATAATAGATATAGGGCAAACGATAGGGCTTTTAGTAGATTGGCCTTCTATCCTAAATAAAGTGGGCTTCAAATCCTCTTGAAGAAGACAGAGTGTTTGCAGTGACGTGACAATTTATTTCTTGCGTTAGCCAAAAATATATTTTTATCCCATACTCGATTATTCTTGAACAAACCCAAGCAGAGGAAACGTCAAAGAATAAAGAAATGAAAGGCTTTGTTACATGTAAAACAATTTTAAGGAAATATATTTTTATCAAATCATCAGAGTTTTGCTGATTAATTCAAATTAACGAAACACTAAGAAACATTCCCAAAAGTTGTAAAAATAAAGTTATAAAAATATTGAAAATAGCAAATTAAATATCCAAATTTATTGAGATTAGTTATTCAGCATATCTATTCTTTTAAAAAAGTGGTTACATAATAGATTTAGGGCAAACGATAGGGCTTTTAGTAGATTGGCCTTCTATCCTAAATAAAGTGGGCTTCAAATCCTCTTGAAGAAGACAGAGTGTTTGCAGTGACGCGACAATTTATTTCTTGCGTTAGCCAAAAATATACTTTTATCCCATACTCGATTATTCTTGAAGAAACCCAAGCAGAGGAAACGTCAAAGAATAAAGAAATGAAAGGCTTTGTTACATGTAAAACAATTTTAAGGAAATATATTTTTATCAAATCATCAGAGTTTTGCTAATTAATTCAAATCAATGAAAAACTAAGAAACATTCTCAAAAGTTGTAAAAATAAAGTTACAAAAATATTGAAAATAGCATATTAAATATCCAAATTTATTGAGATTAGTTATTCAGCATATCTATTCTTTTAATTTTTTTTTATTTAATAAAAATAATAATATTCTATAATGACTATACAGAGGAATATACTAATCCTAGAAAAATCATTCATCTATCCAAAAAAGAATATATATTTTAATACAATCTAATAAAAATAAATGTAGGTATTGCTTATGCATCTGTAGATGTTAGTAATGTATGGCAATCACTTCTGTATAAAGAAGATAAATAAATAAATAAATAAATGACTTTATTGTCAAAAAATTTTTCAATTTGTAGACAAAGGTAAACCAACAAACAAAGTAAAAAAACAAGGTACACAAACAAACAAACAAAAGATAATACAAAACATTATACAAATAATATTGTCAGTCTTATTGTTAAAATAAACATTTATAAATGTTTATAATGTCAAAGAACAAAAAATAAAAATAATATTCAAAAATATTTAGCTAGTTTATAGTAAAATATCAATGACCTCTAAATAAATTAAATAAATTCATAAATATAACATAGATAAATATAACATACATAAAAATTAAAAACAAATTAGAAATAATCATACACTTTCATACAGAAAGTTTTAACCTTATTAAGTAATTGTTATCAGACAGTAATTGTTAATTTTGAAGTTTAACTTAATATAAAGTCATTTTAACAGAACGTCGACGGTTTTTGCAGAGGTATCTGTTTAAAAAAAAACTAAAATGTTCTCGAATTGTTGTATTTAGATATTTTAAATAGTTTTTTTCTTTGTTCTTGGCATTTTTTTAGCTTCCGACGACGGAAAGAGATAAGTATACTTTCCAAAACGTTAAATATTTTTTGTTCGTTAGAAAAATTTGTTCATTAGAAAGCCACTGCTGACAATTAGTCTCTGTTGGATTAATAGAACATTTTTGGATAGACTAATCCTCTAAAAACATAAAAAGAAATGGGTCTCATATAACTTCTAATTATGAAAAACAATAAAGAACAAATCAATAGTATTATTGATACATGTACTTTAATAATAAAACAATTAATTATATATTTATATTGTCATTTTTAAGTCATTATTATTGTTAATCTACGACAATGTCATTATGACAAATTTAATATTGTCATTTGGATGTCATTATGGCTTTCATAATAACACGCAAATTTTAAAATAAGAAACAAGCAAAAAAAGGTACCTAAATACGTTTATTTATTGTAAACATTAATTGTAATATCAGTACAATTGGTTAAATTAATTCCAGACGATGACAGGCGAGTTGAATTTTTAGAAAGTAAATTTATTTCCTGAGTGCTTGAACTTGTTGAGGACCCATCATTGCCAGAAATGTTACCCAAAATATTACATGACACTTTTTTCTTATTTTCTTTGGAATTTTCTATATAGCTCTCTGCCACTGTGTTAGAGCGCCAACCACCATGTCTTTTAACAGTTAATAAATCCACTCCTGAATTTGCAAGCAACGACGTAGACGATCTACGGAAACAATGTCCAGTGTATTGTTGTGGATTTGGAAGACTTAAGAACAATGTTATTTTATACGGCATTTTTCCTAAAGTATTAATGCCAATGGGTTGCTTAATACATTTTCCATTTCTGTACCCCACAAAAAATCGAGTATGCTCTGTGTGGGCCGCATAGCTATATATCTTCAAACCATTTCCACCATATTTATTCCTTCAACGTTTCCTTTCCTTATAAAAAAATCTCGTGATATCTTTGTTTTTGTAAATGGAATAATGACATGAATGCATTGTCCATTGTCTCCAGGCTCCCGCAAGTCCCACTATCAATGAAACTTTTGTCAGGAAATAAGTTTTATCATCAGCTTCCAACAAAAAACGAGTTATGTCTTCTTTTCTTAAAATTCTCGATTTTTTTGACCGAAATTCTTCCGATTTTCTTTTTAGAAATGCAATTAAATGGACGTACTTACTAATATCTGTATTTTTCTTCACTGATATAACTGAACGTAGCATGGAATAATATACCCAAAGTGATGAAGCCTTTCTATGTTTTGAAAGATGTTCAAAATATGCCAGGAGAAACTTTTCGTTACTACTATTCTTGATTCCTTTCCCTTTACACCAATCTTCAAGTTTTACATAGGCTTGCAAATAGCCGCGACAACGAAAACTGAAAAATATAACGGCACTTTTTGTTTTGGACCTGCATATCAACATTACGCTGTACTATTATGTGTTTGTTGTTGAAATAATATAAAATATCTAATTATAACTTGTAAATTTTAATATTTTAACACGATTTTAACTACTTTTGACAATAACTAACTTTTTGTTATCAAGATGACATTTTAGACGGCAACTGACGTATATGTCATAATATTTGAATCTTAAATATGTATGTAATATAATTTAAATTACTATAATGCAACTTTATACTAAGAAAACATTTATACATTCACAAAATACAACAAAGTCTAATAATATAGTTTGAAAACAATGAATATTGAATTAAAATTGAAAAAGTTAATCGCGACCCCTTGCGTCAAAATTAGATGATTAAATTTTCGTAATTTTTACACCATTTGATGACCGGTGGCACCTCTAGTGTTTGTTCGGGCGGTTCGGCTTTTACTCCCGCCTTTGAATAAGAAGACTAAGGAAGGAGCATAATGCTATCCATGTATTCATGCATGGTGGGCGGAAAAGCCACCATAAAAGCTTTCTAGGGTGGGGATCCTTGACAGTTCTGTTTGACGATTCATTTGACACATTTGAATTTGATTTGAAATTTTGTGGATTTGTCAGTCTTTACGGAGCTTATTTTATGTTATTTATTATTTATTCTACTACTGATAGTTGTAGAAAGGTAGTAAATCTAGATGGAAATTGTGGCAGAACTTAAATTAACAGTGACACTATCGCGATTTATCGAAAAAGACTCTAAAATAGTTGGTTGTGTAGCGCGCGGTAGATCTCGGCAAAAATTGAGCGAAATAATGGAACAACTTTTCGCTAGTAAGTGACTATATAATATACATACGTGTAGTAAACCGATCATTTATGAAATTCACTTAAATTAACTAAATTATATATTTTTCTTGCATTTTAGCTTTTATTTATTACTTGTCAAAGATTAGACGTCAAAGAATTTAGATACGTTAATTTGACTTACCTGCTTCAGTAGCGTATCGGATGTTTGTGGTAATAAATACTTATTATAACTTATCTATTTTTATTAGAATTATATATTTTTATAACAATTTTAATAACTACCAACATTTATTCACAACGTAAAATAAAATAACAAATTATTGAGTCTACCCCACGTCTACCCTACATCATAGTTTTACATTTTTTAAATAAAATTAGAACGGCACTGATAAACCGGAATTTAAGACGGCCATATTTGAGGCCCATCGCGGTGTACCTAAGATTTTTGATATGCTCCTTCCTTAAGTCTTGTTATTCAAAGACTCCCGCTTATGGTCATTAAAGAAAAAGTTCTAAAGGGGGATATTTTGTGAACATCAATAATTGAGTTGTCAAAGTCAAAATGGAAACAATCAACAAGCACGGTTACCACGGCGTCAACTAATATGGGCACCTGATAATTTTGAATTTTAATTTTTATGAGGATATCTCTGATATTTTAAATTAAATCAAATCTCTTTGGATCGTCCCTCGTGTCGCCTCGTAGATTAAATTTTGAATGATACACGTTCGATACGAACTTTTTAATGAAACTTACTAACTTACTTACTTAACTCGGCTGACGCCTCGTGGCTTAACGTTACATGCGTTTCATTATGATGTTCGTATCGAACTTGTATCATTAATAACTATAAATAAACCAACTTACTTAACTAGTTTGATATTTGACATAAAACATCCATAAAGTTACGATAAATCACTCGATAAAGTTACAAACAGGGGTAAAAGTGGTTAAAAATGACAGAACGCCGAAAGGGACTCATCCAATATGGCACAAACCTAAATGATGCATGAGATTAATCCCTTGGGGCTGAAGGAACAGGCCCAAGGGCTGATAGTGAGGAGTTAAAGACGGTTCTATTTATTGGGTGTTTGATATAAAATTAGCGAGGGTATGTGTTGACTTTCGATAAAGAAAAATAACTAGAATAATAAATATTGTTTTTAATATTTTGAAGATATGCTTTTAATATTACCAAAATGTCGAGGTTTATTATACTTAAAATGTATGCACTGTATTTTTCCTCTGTACGTAGAATTTTTTGAGAATCTATTTAAACCAAGATCTGGAAATATCCAGGAGATAGTCCAGCAGACATTTCAAAATGTCTCTATATTCCTTAACTAAATACAGGGTGGGCCATCGAAAACGTTCCGCAAGACATAACGGCCAGGGTATTTTTGTTTTCAAAAAATCAAAAAAACACGTCAATTTTGTTTGTGAGGGGGACAACTTTTGCCCCAAAAATGATTGCAAAATCTTCAACCCTCTAAGCGGGGGTGCCATCCCCCAACTTTTTTCAAAAGAGCTTTCTATTCTCTATATTTCCCCGCTTCGTTTTGGAAAATCGGTCGAGTCGTTGAGAAAATATGAAGGATTGAAATTTGAAAAGTTTATTTAAACATTTATCAGAGTAAATGATAAGGATACATTTCTTCGACCAATTTGAGGATTTTTTCTTATTATTTCTAGATGTTTACGCATTTTTTTCACTTGCCACAAGGCTGAACGATCAGGTGCGGTAGTTGCTAGATAGCTGTTCTGTGACTTGTGCGTTGAAGTTCTGTTACACCATAATTGTTAAAAAGTTTAACGATACTGAGAAGAACTTCAACGCATAAGTCACAGAACAGCTATCTAGCAACTACCGCACCTGACCGTTCAACTTTGTAGTTCAACCTTGTGGCACCTGATCGTTCAACCTATAAGCACAGATAACACATAATCTATATTCTAATTATATGTTATCTGTGCTATAAGATAATATTATTAAGGAAGTCAAATTTTTAAAATAAAATATGCATACATGCAACAAATGTAATTTATGTGACAGTAAGCCTACAGAAGTAACAGGAATATTAATATTTAAATATAAAAACAAAATTTATTCAGACTTACCCAAATTGTATCTCCAGAAATCCTTCAAAGGCAGATTACCATTGCGTCCCCCCCTTTGAATAAGAAGACTAAGGAAGGAGCATAATGCTATCCATGTATTCATGCATGGTGGGCGGAAAAGCCACCATAAAAGCTTTCTAGGGTGGGGATCCTTGACAGTTCTGTTTGACGATTCATTTGACACATTTGAATTTGATTTGAAATTTTGTGGATTTGTCAGTCTTTACGGAGCTTATTTTATGTTATTTATTATTTATTCTACTACTGATAGTTGTATAAAGGTAGTAAATCTAGATGGAAATTGTGGCAGAACTTAAATTAACAGTGACACTATCGCGATTTATCGAAAAAGACTCTAAAATAGTTGGTTGTGTAGCGTGCGGTAGATCTCGGCAAAAATTGAGTGAAATAATGGAACAACTTTTCGCTAGTGAGTGACTATATAATATACATACGTGTAGTAAACCGATCATTTATGAAATTCACTTAAATTAACTAAATTATATATTTTTCTTGCATTTTAGCTTTTATTTATTACTTGTCAAAGAATTTAGATACGTTAATTTGACTTACCTGCTTCAGTAGCGTATCGGATGTTTGTGTTAATAAATACTTATTATAACTTATCTATTTTTATTAGAATTATATATTTTTATAACAATTTTAATAACTACCAACATTTATTCACAACGTAAAATAAAACAACAAATTATTGAGTCTACCCCACGTCTACCCTACATCATAGTTTTACATTTTTTAAATAAAATTGGAACGACACTGATAAACCGGAATTTAAATCGGCCATATTTGAGGCCCATCGCGGTGTACCTAAGATTTTTGATATGCTCCTTCCTTAGTCTTCTTATTCAAAGGTCCCCCCAAAACGTAAACATACTCCCCCACAATGGTGGCACTGTGGTAAGTGAAAAAATGCGTAAACATCTTAAAATAATAAGAAAAAACAGCAAATTGGTCGAAGAATTTATCCTTATCATTTACTCTGGTAAATGTTTAAATAAACTTTTCAAATTTCAATCCTTCATATTTTCTCAATGACTCCACCGATTTTCAAAAACGAAGCGGGGAAATATAGAGAATAGAAAGCTCTTTTCATTGCGGTGCCACTTGACCCCCCTTCCCATTTGAAAAAAATTGGGGGATGACACCCCTGCTTAGAGGGTTGAAGATTTTGCAATCATTTTTGGGGCAAAAGTTGTCCCCCTCACAAACAAAATTGACGTGTTTTTGAATTTTCTGAAAAAAAAATTCCCCTGGCCGTTATGCCTTGCGGAACGTTTTCGATGGGCCACCCTGTATAAAGAACTGTGTCTCAGACAACTTCAAATTATGAATAACAATAAAAAGACACAATACGCTACAGTGAACATTATATATTGTTATACTAATACTTTTGATTATATACGTAGTCAATACTCAATAAGCCAAAATTATATACACTACCTATAGTTAGTCTAGCGAGAGGATATACAGTTATTATATATCTATCTATCTATCTATATATTAATTTCGAAAGAAATTTGTTTCTCCTGTCACTTTTTTTCACATTAAGTTTTTTTTTACGAGAAGTATGACTTAACTATTTAGTTCTATTGTATAACCAAATGGGCGAAGACATTGTCTTAAATATATTTTATATATTGCACTTTTTGTTATATTTTCTAGAAGAGTAAGATATTAATCTAAGGCACAAAACATCCCCCTTTAGAACTTTTTCTTTAATGGTCAAAAGCGGGAGTAAAAGACCAACCGCCCGAACAAACACTAGAGGCGCTACCGGTCATCAAATGGTGTAAAAATTGCGAAAATTTAATCATCTAATTTTAACACAAGGGGTCGCGCTTAACTTTTTCAATTTTAATTCAATATTTATTGTTTTCAAATTATATTATTAGACTTTGTTGTATTTTGTGAATGTATAAATGTTTTCTTAGTATAAAGTTGCATTATAGTAATTTAAATTATATTACATACATATTTAAGATTCAAATATTATGACATATATGTCAGTTGCCGTCTAAAATGTCATCTTGATAACAAAAAGTTAATTTTTGTCAAGAGTAGTTAAAATCATGTTAAAATATTAAAATTTACAAGTTATAATTAGATATTTTATATTATTTCAACAACAAACACATAATAGTACAGCGTAATGTTGATATGCAGGTCCAAAACAAAAAGTGCCGTTATATTTTTCAGTTTTCGTTATCAGCCGCGGAAGTTTCAGTGATTTTAGTGTTGTCGGATATTTTTATTTGTGAAATAGAAATATTGCGTTTGGATTGCAAAACTAAAAGTGGAAGTTTTATTGCAATGTAAGTAAGCGTTTATCCATTTTATATTTTACTTTTTTCATACCTACGATAAATATACATATATTGAAATTTTATAATTGGTTTTATTTAAAAAATGTTAGAAAACAAGCTTGTAATCCTGTAATTGACATAATTGTTATGTAATATATTCCATTTAAATGTAATATATTACCTTACAATTAAAAAAATGTAAATTTAAAAAATATATTAAAAATAAATAAAATAATACAGGAATTAATTGAAATTTTTAGAGTGCGAACAAACACGAGAGGCGCTTTATTATTTACTTTCATTTCTTAACATGACAGATGAAGTTCTAAAGGGGGATGTTTTGTGATCTAAGGTAAATGTAAAGTTTCAAAAAAAAAACACTTGAATTATTATTTGTATAAGATAATATTATTAAGGAAGTCAAATTTTTAAAATAAAATATGCATACATGCAACAAATATAATTTATGTGACAGTAAGCCTACAGAAGTAACAGGAATATTAATATTTAAATATAAAAACAAAATTTATTCAGACTTACCTAAATTGTATCTCCAGAAATCCTTCAAAGGCAGATTCCCATTGCGTCCCCCCAAAACGTAAACATACTCCCCCACAATGGTGGCACTGTGTTTTGCCCTAGCCGAGGGCGCCGACCCTTGGGGATCATCTGGAGCCACCGAACTCCACATTTGCTTTCACTACAACAACACAAAGCAAAAAATAACTTTTTAACAATGTTTGAATATTTAAATACTATGTTCTTCCTAAAAAAACCGGCTACATCATGTTTATATACAAACTAGTACAAGAAAAAACTAGTTAGAGCGAAATTTCAAAGAAAAACTGTATAAAACACAAATTTACTTACATTCTAACACATAAACTTTGACATAAATTTATGTGAAAAACTCATATATCACCCCGTAGAATATCTGGCGATATTTATTTCGTGACGACATGCCAATAATTCTTCATTATTTTGAACCCTTGTGCACGGGATACAGAAACGCGGATATCTGGATGTTTCCGTGCGTGCCTGTTTGTTTTTACGCGCATGTATCCTGCAGGACTCCAGACAGGACAATGCAGGACAGGCCTATTGAAAAATTTGTATTGATTTTCGGGATTGGGGACACTAGTTCAACGTATTGTTCCGTTTAATAGGTTTCCTGTTAAATAATAGAGTATCTTGTGGTTAGTTTAAGTTTATTTTATTTAATAGAAGTGTTTTTGAAGGTATATTTTATTGTAAAATTCGAAAAACATAATTTTTGTAATGTAACTTTATGCAACCAGTAATACAAGTTTCCCTAAAAAATTTAAATTAAGTTATAAGGAGTATCCAGTGTTTTTTTCACTACAATATATTTTATAAAACATGCGAAAATTGGTTAAGCACATTTTAAAGATAGTTTCTTCGATATACAGGGTGATTCAAATCGGGATATTATTACACAAAGTATTTGACTAAAGTTTTTATGTGGTTTTTAAATCGAATGTTACATATTCTCTTTTGTAGATGAATAAGTAATTATTCCATATTCTTGCGGTTTTGCACAGTGCATTTGCTATAAAATTTTCATATTCTCTATAAATTATAAAGTCATTTAATATTTAGAGCAAATTGGTATTACTGGTTACATAACAACATTATAAAAATCAAATTTTTTAAATGTTACAACAAAATATACCTTTAAAACGTCTTTTATTAAATAAAATAATCGAAAAAATAACAAAATACTCTATTACTCAGCCTAGAACCCACTAAACAAAGCAATACGTTAATTTTCTAATAAACAAAGCAAATAAAATTGTTTAGTTAAAAATAAAACGAAAAATAATAACTGATTTGAGTTGGAATAGAAAATACTTAAAACTGAATAAAAGCTTTGCTGATTTACGATATAAAATACAGGGTGTTCTATTTAAAATAAGAGAGAATGACACATTATTATTAGATATCTAGACTCGCACGATTTGGCCACCCTGTACACAACAGTCAAGTAAATAATACAAATAAATAAATGTTTTACTCAGTATATTTATCACAATAAATCTACATATATAAAGAATTACATATACATATATTTTAGCTAAACATACTCGATTAAAAATAAGTTTAACCATTTATTTACACATTTTAAAGCAAAACTTAAAATTTTAACAAAAAAATTAAAAATTAGGCCTAAAATTTTCACTTGGAACGCTTTGGTACTGACGTGTATAATAAACAATTACAAAATAGTAGTTAATTCCTTTTTAAGGGTTTTGTAACGCATTTTTTTAATTACAGTCTTTAAACAGAAGAGAATAAAAATATTTAGGCAAAAGTTCGTTAGAAAATATAACAAACAGAGAGCGAAACAGTCTCTTTACCAATATACCACATTAACAACAACAACAAACATGAATCTACATCAGAAATTCATGTTTTCTTCGTAGGCTCACAACGAAATAAAGCGTTTTACAAACATATATAAATTAATAAATATATATTTTATATTAGTATGCACTTGGCACAGCCCTGCATTTTATTTTTTTTATTTTTATCACTGTCGTTCTGTGGTTGATTCCTGATTATTCTCACCACCTAAAATAGCCCCAAAATATAAACACAATCCTTTGAGTAAAAAAAGGAAAAAGTACACACTGCCATCTTTTACTAATCTCTCTATAGTTACCTCATGAAATGTAGCGTCTATATTTAGAGGAGGATCTTTAGCACTGGTTTCAATATAAGGAATTCCCAATTTATGTGCCAATTCCCTTCCCTGTTCTTCAGTAACTTTTCTTAAATGAACCAAATCAACCTTATTCGCAACTAGAAGCATCGGGTATGTGTCCCTACAAAAATATACACATTTATACATATCAAAACAAGTATTTTTCTAAGAATATATACCTGTCTTTCACTCTTAAGATCTGTGTGTGGAAATGGGTGATGTTCTCATAACTATTCTTGTCGGTTACTGAATATACCAGCAAAAAACCATCACCCTTTCTCATATACTGTTCCCTCATCGCACTAAATTCTTCCTGGCCAGCTGTGTCAAGCACTATAAAACACAGAAATATAATTCGTTCATGAAAACCAAGCAAAAAGTCCCTGTTTACCGTCAAGCATACACCACTGGCCATCAACTTCAACATGCTGCATATAACTGTCTTCAATTGTGGGGTCGTAATCAGTTACAAACAGTTTTTGGAAAAACTGTATCGTTATGGCACTTTTCCCCACACCACCATCGCCTACCACGACGAGTTTAACGGTGGGCAAGTTGTCCGTAGGGGGTTTCGTCATGGCTCTCATGAATTCGGCTTTATTTAAAAACTTTCTTCAGAAATACAAAGACAAATGTTACCTTGATTTAAGTAGGCCTAAAACTAAACATTGCATCAATTATGTTTATCGATATACAACCAGGAGTTAGAAAATTATTACCTATGCATCGTTATAGTAATTAAAAGTTTGAAAATTATATTCTTCTTGTTCTTAGATTTTGGAAAAAAATTCGTTGTTTTTGTTTGACGTAAAAATTGACATTTCCAGAGACCTTTAAATGTCAATCATTTAAAATACTAAACATATATTGTTCTCTTTTTATTTTATGAAGTTAAACAGAGATAAAAATCGTCGAATTGTCAATGTTTTCGTGACAGAGAGTGACATAAACAAGAGTTTTCTTCACTTCCATTATTGCCAAATTTATATAATCAATATAATAAAAAGCGTCATAAATAAAACAAAAAGTCTACAATTAGAAATTAAACTTCATTATTTTGTAATCTACAGGGTAAATTTTGATTCAAAGAGCTGAAATCTTTGTACGGTAAAATATTATTTATCCAATGAAGAGGATTCTAAAATAATCCGACAACACTGATGTAATTCCAGGAATTTTGTGAGTATGATTTCATGTTAAATGTCTTGTGAATCAGGTTTTTCTTGAAGTAAACATAAAAGCAAACAGATTTTATACCTGTTCGTTTACAAAAACAGCGTTAAATAATTAATTTTCTCGTTAACTGGCCCAGTTTTAACGAGCGTTGCGTGTTTAATAATAGTAATTTTAAATACTGTTAATTTTAAGGTCACTGACATAAATAAGTGCTTTTAGAACACGCCTTTTTTCGTTCTATTCACAAACAAGCCTAGAAAAATGTCGAAAAGGCCTGCCGTGCAGCCAGCCCTCCATAAAGTGATTATGGTAGGCAGTGGAGGTGTTGGAAAATCCGCCCTAACCCTTCAGTTCATGTACGATGAGTTTGTTGAAGATTATGAACCAACGAAAGCAGATTCTTACCGAAAGAAGATCCTCCTTGATGGTGAAGAAGTCCAAATTGATATTCTGGATACAGCAGGTCAGGAAGACTATGCTGCTATTAGGGATAATTATTTTAGAAGCGGAGAAGGGTTTCTGTGTATATTTTCGATTACAGAAGATGAAAGTTTCCAGGCTACTCAAGAATTCAGGTGAATATAGTGTTTTTAAAGTCTTAGACATGTGATTCTGTGAAATAAACGTCTTGTGATTTGCAGGGAACAGATTCTTCGAGTAAAGAATGATGATAACATCCCCTTTTTGCTTGTTGGTAATAAAAGCGACTTGGACGAGAAAAGGAAAGTTACTTTTCAAGAAGCTCAAGACAGGGCTAATAAATGGGGGGTTCCTTACGTAGAGACATCGGCTAAAACAAGGGAAAATGTTGATAAAGTAAGTTTTTGAACACTGTTTATTATGTTTTTATAGATATACGAGAATTTTAGTACGTGATATATTTGATTTTCTTCAGGTTTTTTACGATCTGATGAGGGAGATCAGAGCAAGGAAAAAAGATGAAAACAAGACAAGCAACGGTAGAGGAAAGGACAAAAACAAGAAAAAGAAACTAAAGTGTGTAATTCTTTAAGAAACAAAGTTAGAATGGTCTCGAAAAAAAAAAGGCAAGAAGTCTACTTGTAAGCATTTAAGAGATATCCAGAAAAAACGGATTTTTCTTTTACTGTAAAGATATTAATATAAGCTTTATAAGTATTCATGTAAATTATTAATTTTTTATTCAATCGAAAATAAAAAAGAATTATAGGGAATCTTTAATATTCGCCTCAGTTGAGTCATGATTTATTTTTTTATCACAAAATTATTTAATTCTGTTGTTATCTAACCAGAGAGTGATAACATAAATGTAAATATATAGCGTCACTTATGAATATTTTTAGTTTCGAAAAATGTAAAATGGCGTGCAGATACAAGTTTGATTGTCGTTTCAAAGGTTACCTTGACACCATTTTTCTTTTCCTTTTTGTTTTATATAGATTTTTTGGCTAACACTGCCATTATTTTTTCTATTTAGCTCCTGCCCAGAAAAGATTTTTTTAAATATTGTAATATTTTTATTTTTGTATAAAATCAAACGGTACTTATTTTAATAAAATACCAAAAATTGCCATACTAATTTTTCTGGGTAGACTTATTGAAAAAAATAAAAATTTGATATTCAAAAAAAGCACTGAATTTTTTTAAGCCCAGTCAAAATTATATATTTTTTAGATCTTCTAGGTCATTGTATTATACCGGATGTAATGAAATAATTATTTTTTTTGTGTTTTTAGTATTTTGTTATTATTATTAGATTATTTGTAGTTTATATGTCAAACACGCAGTCTTTTTGATTTATAATACACGTAAAAGCAAATCTTAAATTTTATATAAAGTTTTTCATACTGTGTAATATATACGAGGGAAAATAAAACTATGTTGTTTTCCTCTAAAAAAATTGTTTTTTTTTTCATCTATTTTTTTTTCGCTAATGGTTATAAAAAACGAACGATTACACTAAAAACTTATACAATAAGAGGTAGTTGTGTCTTAAAAATATGAATAAAAAGTTTGTCAACTATTTTTTTTATAAAATAACACAAAATATGAATAGAGCTTACTTAAAATAATCAGTCTGTTTTTTAGGCTTAAAATTTAATCTACAGAACGACTCCGTGAAGTTAAACAATTATATACGTGTAAAATGTAACGGATAATCGAAAAAAAAACGGTATCATAGTGGTCATCGAAAATTGCTACTGGCCGACGTTTTTTTTTCGAGAGTACGGTATGTATCACTGGAAATCGCAGATTAAATAAGCACACGCAAGCAAAATGTAAGATAATGTAGCGTGTAATAGAAAAAAAAACGGCGTCGTAGCGGTCTATGAAAACGGCTACTTGACGTCGTTTTTTTTTTCGATAGTATGGTAAATATCGCTTGAAATCGCAGTATTTTCCTACTGATTTCCTATGGTTCTGCTTGGTTATATTCATTTAAACTCACAGAGTGTTTTTTCTATTTCAAACTAACAAAATGTATATACAAATAAAAATTCTCTTTAAAAAACTGTCTAATGTCAGTTTTTGCACGCCGTTTGGTCTAACCTAAAACACCTGCAAGTACATCCTACTTGTGGACATTCCACGTGTTCTCTAAAAAGATGATTGAAAAAAAATTGTTTTATTGGTTTTAATGATTAGTCATTGAATTAAAAGACTAATGTGGAAAATTCCATAAAACTGGGAAGAATTCCCTAGATCTGTGGAAAATTTCCTAAATCTTCGGAAGATTTCTTAGATCTTTGGAAGATTTCTTAGATCTGTAAAAATTTTCCTAGATCTGTGGAAAATTTCCTAGATCTTTCGAAGATTTCCTAGACCAGTGGAAAATTTCCTAGATCTGTAAAAAAATTCCTAGATCTATGGAAAATTTCCTAGATCTTTAGAAGATTTCCTAGATCTGTGGAAAATTTCCTAGATCTGTAAAAAATTTCCCAGATCTGTGGGAAATTTCCTAGATCTGTAAAAAATTCCTAGATCTGTGGAAAATTTCCTAGATCTTTGGAAGATTTCCTAGATCTGCGGAAAATTTCCTAGACCTTTGGAAGATTTCCTAGATCTGTGGAAAATCTAGATCTGTAAAAAAATTCCTGGATCTGTGGAAAATTTCCTAGATCTTCGGAAGATTTCCTAGATCTGTAAAAAAATTTCCTAGATCTGTGGAAAATTTCCTAGATCTTTGGAAGATCTCCTAGATCTGCGAAAAATTTCCTAGATCTGTGGAAAATTTCCTAGATCTTTGGAAGGTTTCCTAGATCTGTGGAAAATTTCCTAGATCTTTGGAAGATTTCCTAGATCTGCGGAAAATTTCCTAGACATTTGGAAGATTTCCTAGATCTGTGGAAAATCTAGATCTGTAAAAAAATTCCTGGATCTGTGGAAAATTTCCTAGATCTTCGGAAAATTTCCTAGATCTGTGGAAAATTCCTAGATCTTTGGAAGATTTCCTAGATCTGCGAAAAATTTCCTAGATCTGTGGAAAATTTCCTAGATCTGGAAGATTTTCTAGATCTGTGGAAAATTTCCCAGATCTGTAAAAAATTCCTAGATCTGTGGAAGATTTCCTAGATCTGCGGAAGATTTCCTAGATCTATGGAAAATTTCGTAGATTTGTAGGAAATTTCCCAAATCTTTGGAAAATTTCCTGACAACTATGGAATATTAGGCTTTAATAAAAGATTTTTTTACTTACGCGAACCAGTTAGTTATGTGTTTGGCGTGTCCGCCATGCCTACAATACTGACACCAAGCGAACCAGCTGTCAAAAGATCTGGGCTTGTCCGAGTCCTCGTCATCTACGGGCTCGCCCATATTCATCAAACACACTGTACATCGGGGCAGTGGCTTGCGACAATGCGGACAAGCAGTTAACTGTATTAAAAAAACAGTAAAAATTACAAAACAAAATCTGAAATGACTTTTTTCAAGAGAGAAAACTTTACAAAATTCCTCTATAATTTTGTATGTCTAAATAATTATAATTTTGGACCCAAGAATCTGGGTGTTAGCCCACCAAGGGAGAGAATGTAGCTACCTTATTCGATGTACCGGCAACGTTGAGCCTGGAATATTGCTGAGTTCTCAGGTTGCGCATGTGAGCCGAGATATTTTTCCCGCAATAGTTACAAGAGACGTAGATCTGCGGTGGCGGTTTGTCTTTTTTGTATTTTGCCACCATTATGTCGAAATCGCACCTCTGAAACCAGAGCTTCCAAGTGTTGAGCAAATTTCTGTAACTAGAAATAATAATAATGATAGTAGGTTAAATGTCCTATTCAATTATTTGGTGTATTTCTATATCTTGGAGTAAAAAGATCAAGGAAGGAGCATTTCAAAAAAATTACTGTTAAGTGAAACGTCAAAAAGAACCGTCAAAATGGAGATTTATAAGGTTGATTCCATCTCTATGCATGAATACATCGATAGCCACCTGTGAATAGCATTATTACTCCTTCCTGAATCTTTTTATTCAAGGATTTCAATACTATAATCAGTGATTCTTAGAAAAAAAACTACTAAAACTTACTTTAAAATCCAATTGAGAACTGCAACAGAGTTGATCTCATTATGGAAGGCTCTAACTGCTATCAGGGTAGTAGACTGAATATCCCCTGTATTATTATTGTATTTTTCCAGAAGCTTTAATCCTTCAGGGCTATTTCCTACACAAATAATATAGTTTTAAAATGAATTTACCGTTTTCTTTTTAATTCATCAAAGCATAATAAAAAATATCTTCAAAAAGAGATGCTAATAATTGCCAACTCCTGATTTTATCTAGTCTGGTTTTTTTATGGGGATACATGTTAAAGACAGTGTTTACAAAACTCGACCAACTATTGTCGACAACATGAGATAAATTATTGTAGTAAGCATTTGATTTAATCTAGCTAATTTTATCACATAATTATAGGTTTATATCTAGTTTTAATTCCGTAATAATTAAAATATGTTTTTAACGTGTATCTTTTTATTACCGTTGAGTATTTTACTCTACAACCTTTAATTTTTGTTAAATTAACAAAAAGTATATCACACAGCCACCCTAGATTTTTTCAAATAATAAAGATCTACTGACGCAAAATCATAAAAATTAAAATATCTAGGAAAATCTTTGTTAGAGGGGTAGGCAACCTTAATAATATTTTGAAGATATATAAATTCCCCATTGAACACCGGAAAATATACTGGCTGTTCCATTTAAAATAAAGGAGTAACTTGCTTTTAAAAATGACTAATGTTCCATATTAATTTTGTCTCACCCTGTATAACTTTTCGGGTCAAATTTCAACTTGGTTTAACATACAATGGTTACTGTAATTAAATATCAGACTATACAAGGTCAACTAAAATTTAGCATATTATATTTCTTAAAATTTTCAAATTTACTCATTTTTTTTATTATTTAAAATACACACACTTCAATCTGTTGAAATGAAATGTCCCGCATCCATCAAAGGTATGTTCCGATCACCATGACAATCGTTTAGTTTGTTGCTCGGCGCGGCCTACTATCTACTAAGTGGATATTTTATAAAATAAATAAATAAATAAATGCCTTTATTGTCAAAAAATTTTTCAATTTGTAGACAAAGGTAAACTAACAAAGAAAGTAAAAAAACAAGGTACACAAACAAACAAACAAAAGATAATACAAAACATTATACAGATAATATTGTCAGTCTTATTGTTAAAATAAACATTTATAAATGTTTATAATGTCAAAGAACCAAAAAATAAAAATAATATTCTGTCTTTTAAGAAAAATTTGAAATGTTGAGGTTAATAGTGAAAATAAATAGAGAGTGTTATATATTTTCGAGAAGCCCATGCCAAGCTAAATAAGAAAATTTAAAAATATACAGGGGGTTCTATTTAAAAAAAAACATAGGTGTAGTTAATACCTTAAAAAATATTTTTTTCGAAAAAAGTCTCACTACACCACTGCATTCTACACAGAAAAGTGCCTTTAGAATGTATAATTCATTTTTCCGTGGTTGGCTGAAATAAACAAACTAACGAACATCTTCAAAAAGTACAAAATCTGAGATCCCCCTGTAGCTTCGAAACCGATCAAGATAGCCACGATCCGTTTGTGCCATTGTATTGTTTTCAAAAAAAGAACCCGAGACTGCAGTATCAAAATTTGAATATTTCTCACGGTTTCCTAGATACCCTATAAAAACAACCAAAATAGTCCACCCTGTACATATATTTCAACTTACCTGTAAGCAGCAGTCCATCCAAATTCCCCTGCTTGCACAAATCTTTAGCCAGCCTGCTCATATACTCCTTCAATTTGTTATCAGCCAAGTAAACACAAGCCAATGCCACCTTATCGTCTACAGTGATATCGGACTCATACAACACAGTGTGATAGTTATTGTCACCTGCCAAAAACCCAAACATGGCCTTCAAGTAAGGATCGGTCAGTGAATGGATTGAAGTAGTGCAAAATCTCTTCCAGACGCTGTTGGGATCGTCCGAAAAGCCAGACAGCGCCAAGATTACCATAGCTGAGTTAAAACTAGCTGGAGCTCTGCCTAATATTTCTATGGCTAGTGGGACATTGAGGTTAAAAACAGCCAAAGCGGCTGCTCTGGTGTAGGCTCCTGCTCTTTCTAGGCTGGAAATGATAGTACTCAATGAGTCAGTGTCCCGTTCTATTGGCCAGCTGCATAGAAGTAGAGCGTTGTTTCTATCGTCGTGTCTAAAAATGCCAAAAAAGGTTTTTTTTTTCTCAAGAAAAGGTATAGCCGTATTAATATGGGAAATCTGCCTCCGCGGCTTTTTTGACTTGCACTCAGGGGATCGATTTGGTGTCGAATCAAAATAATTCACCTAAATTTTTAGCTCTTTAACTCAAACGGTTTTCGAGTTTTTAAAAAAAAACTGTTTTTTCAATTTTATTTTTATAGTAAAATCCAAAATTAATTAATGATGATTTTTTTCTAATTCTTAGAAGTCTAAGACATGAAAAAATGATGTGATCATGATTCTTAAACAAAAAGTCGATTTTTAGCTGAGGATAGAGAGAAACTAATAACTAAAGTGAGTGGAATAGGGCATTTCGTAGACAAGTTTATTTTGTCACCGCGCATCCCAGACGCGCATAGCGTTTAGGCGGTCAAAAAAGGAAGTTTTCAATTTTGCAAGTTAAACATTTGACAGGATTAATTAGATTGTCAGTAGCTTTTTCTATTTCTTAGTTCTAGAAGGAGATACCTAAAATCTGTTGATAATCGGAGCAAATCGGAGTAATAAATTGTTTTTGACTGAATGTGCCTGTTCTTTTAGCTTGTCAGAAGAGAAGATTATTGTCATTATTGATTATTTCAGATTCCACGATTATTCGGCATTTTTGTAATTTTTGTTTTGTGGTTGAGACCCAGACAAAACGTTTCCTTTAAGGGTAAGTTTTATCTCGGTAATTATTTTAACATACCTAATAGTAATAGTGAGTGCACATAATAATCGTACATTGCTAATTTAAATTTTTTAATTTAAAACGTCACATTCTTTTCTGATACCTATGGAACGACTAGGTATTATACCTGGTATTATTTCCAGTAATACAAATTATTTTCTTCAACTGCTAGGTTCTTGTTATAGAATAAAGACTATCAAAAACATTGAATACCTACGGGATACCTACTGATACTCTGTGCGAGCTCCCAACCGTGCTTCCCTGTTCACTCCCAACCAAGTTAGATAAAAAAGATACTGAAGATTGCAGCCTTGAGTTGGAGTATGGCAAGGAGTATGAAGTTAAATAAATTATTATGTTCCTACACAGTATTTTATTTATAGCTTTTAATGCTTTAAAGTCTAATAATAAATTTTCGTTGTCAACAAAATAATCTAAAAAAACTACGAAGATTTCTTATTATAAACTTCAAAGATTAAGATTCGGTTCAAATATACAGATTTTAAATTTTTGGCGCCAGTATATAGGTATGAATGCAACCTACTATATCGATAATGCGCTCATAGTTCGGGTTAGACGCCAAAGGCCGCGCCACTAACACAGTCTTCAAAGATTAACGTTGATGGGTCTCTCTCACTTTAGTTATTAGTTTTCTCTCTGGCTGAGGAAAGAAAATTAAAATCATAGATAAATGAAACAAGTTTAGATTGGAAAGTGCCCATAAGGACAATGCTTTGAATAAGAAGACTAAGGAAGGAGCATATCAAAAATATTAGGTACACCGCGATGGGCCTCAAATATGGCCGACTTAAATTCCGGTTTATCAGTGTCGTTCTAATTTTATTTAAAAAATGTAAAACTATAATGTAGGGTAGACGTGGGGTAGACTCAATAATTTGTTGTTTTATTTTACGTTGTGAATAAATGTTGGTAGTTATTAAAATTGTTATAAAAATATATAATTCTAATAAAAATAGATAAGTTATAATAAGTATTTATTACCACAAACATCCGATACGCTACTGAAGCAGGTAAGTCAAATTAACGTATCTAAATTCTTTGACATCTAATCTTTGACAAGTAATAAATAAAAGCTAAAATGCAAGAAAAATATATAATTTAGTTAATTTAAGTGAATTTCATAAATGATCGGTTTACTACACGTATGTATATTATATAGTCACTTACTAGCGAAAAGTTGTCCCATTATTTCACTTAATTTTTGCCGAGATCTACCGCACGCTACACAACCAACTATTTTAGAGTCTTTTTTCGATAAATCGCGATAGTGTCACTGTTAATTTAAGTTCTGCCACAATTTCCATCTAGATTTACTACCTTTATACAACTATCAGTAGTAGAATAAATAATAAATAACATAAAATAAGCTTCCTAAAGACTGACAAATCCACAAAATTTCAAATCAAATTCAAATGTGTCAAATGAATCGTCAAACAGAACTGTCAAGGATCCCCACCCAAGAGAGCTTTTATGGTGGCTTTTCCGCCCACCATGCATGAATACATGGATAGCATTATGCTCCTTCCTTAGTCTTCTTATTCAAAGGGACAATGTAAACACTATTTGGCGCTATTCTTGCAACGGTCGCGACCCAAAACTTTTTAAAATTTCGGAGCGGTTCGGCTTTTTCCGCAATTATATCGCCAAATATTGTTTATTCAAATTTATTATAATTTTCGTTTAATTTTATAAATAAAAGACAGTGTGCTGCATACAAGAAACTTTATTTTATATAAGGATGCATGTATGAAATAGATATGAAACATTGGAAACCGACGTTATGCCACGATCCACGATGGTTTTTGCAGTTCACAGTTCACAGCACAGCTTTTTAAGTTTTTAATGCCACTTTTTCACAATTATCACCGGTTGGAGTAAATAAAACTTGAATTAAACTCACAAGATAGCAATTATTACTTTGAAAATGGCTCTATAAACACTTTTCGGAATTTCTTTGATGAGAGCGGTTTAGATTTTGAAAGATTATTATGACTTTTGAAGATTCTGACTTTGACAAGAGAAAATTATTTCTGTTTTTGTTTGCCGTTGTTCTTAGCGACCGCTATAGCAGCGCCAGATCGCGTATAACGGTCGCGACCCAAAATAATTTCGCGACCTAAAATTTTTACGGGCTTTCCAATCTAAACTTGTTGCATTTATCTATGATTAAAATCTTCATTTTTTTAACCTTTGTGAAATATGTCACTCACTAAAAGTCGTCAGAAACTCCTTTACACACTCAGGATTTTTTTTAGAATTTTTTAAAGTAGTAAAAATATATCCTGGCAGGAAATAAACATAAAGATTATTATAAAAAAATTAGTCCAAGAAGATTTTAGAAAAAAATTAGTTTTAATTTTTTTCATATTATTCCACCTAGTGATGGGTTGTTATTTAACTAGCTGTTATTTTATAACAATTATTTACAAATAACACAACGCAACCGATACTACTTTTAAAAAATAACAGATATAAAATAACGACACGAAGATATCGACCGTTCGTGAAACGAAGTCGGCGCTCTGCACCGCCACGAAATTCGATGCTGCTCGAAGCAATTCCAAAAAACAACTAGTATAGATGGAAAACATGTTATTTCGACAACCATCGATACAGGCGGCGAGATACAACAGCAACGGAGTGGGGTATGCGCTACAGCGAACGTAGCTGCATCGGTCGATGCCGTCGATGGTCGTGTTGGGCTTGCAACAGCTTAAAAATAATAGGATATTGTTGCGGACCCGTGTGGACTCGACCTAACCTAACTATATGTCCCGCCCTCAGATGACCTTAACATCGCATTAAGGAATAGACACCGTAATAATTTATTCGAAGTTTCGAGAAGAATCGAGTTCCACTGGAATGGAGTAGTACATACGAGAACAATCGAAACCTTCTCTATGCACCTATCGATCTATGGACTACGGAACCGACGAAAAACGTAACAATATAAAAGAAACAGCTTTTTTGAAACAGCTGCGGGTATAACGCCTGGCGGTCGAGATAACAGGAGTGGGAAAGGAATGCTGCTGCATCGGTCGATTGTCGATGAAAGCTCGCAACGGGTTGGGGAATAACGTATAGAAAATAAGCAGTCATTTTAGATATGTTGTTTTTTAACCTGTTACGAGCATAACAGAGCGGTGGTCGAGATAATCGGAGTGGGAAAGTAACGCTGCTGCATCGATCGATTGTCGATGGAGGTTCGAAACAGGTTGGAGAATAACGCCATCAGTTGTTTTAGATACCTACATTGTTTTTCAACCTGTTACGAGCATAACGGGCGGAGGTCGAGATACTATGGCGCTGTATGTTTCAGTACGTTATTAAGTTTCAATATTTAGATATTTATTTATTCTGAAAAATTTTCAGAATAATATTTTAGGATTTTTTAAAAATGTATACAGGGTGTTTTGAAAAATCTGGTCATTGATTAATCACGATCCTGCTTAAAGCCCTTGATGTAAAAAGCTGATTTTTGGAAAACCGATTGACTTTAGGGTGTAGAGGTTCGATAAGAAGGGATTTTTCGAAACTCGAAATCTAAGGGGCTGAAACCACCCTCAAATATTAGAATATTTTTTATTTAAAACCCGGTTAGTCTTTCGGGAAAACGCTTGGACGCGCATAATTTATTTGTTTTTTTTTACATATTTTGAAATTTCTTAAAAAATCATACAGGGTGTTCCAAAAAGTTGGGTAATTTCTTAACCACGATTCTGCTTAAACTGCTTGACATAAAAAGCTTATTTTTAGCAAACTGATTTTTCGAAAGTCAAATTCCAACGAGATGAAACTACCCCTCAAATATTAACCAAGTTATATAATAATATCGCCATATTGGTTTTTCTCATGCTGACATAAATGTGAGAAAATTTTATCCAGTTTGTACGTTAATGAAAATTCTTGCTTTGCTTTATCATCACCATTACAAATGATTAATTCGATGCGAACGAAGTCGCTGGTACACACTAGTTTCATTATATTTACTTGTAATATTTTATGGTTCCGCTACAATTGGCATGTCCCAACTCATTCCATGACACGGTGACAGTCTCTGAAGGATTTCTATCTGGGTCTATATTCAAAATGTACATAACTCCTGGATGTTTGTATGGAAACCCTGCCGGCAGCACTATTTGGTTCTCTTCGACCAATTTTAAACACAAATCTAGCCAATTCCAGACATTAGAGAGTACTTCATCGTTCTTCACTATATTCGCGTTCTTACATAACTCTTCCTATAGAATATATCATGTGATCGAAAAAAAAAAAATACAATAAAAACAACAGTTCACTTACAGCTAAACCGTATTCTTCTTTTGCTCTGTCTTTCATTTTGACAGCTATATCCTGCATTGCAGGAACTGTGCTGTGGTCTAAACTTTTCAACACTTTTTTGCCGTGAGACCATACAATTTGGAACCACGGGGTGCAATTGACAGTTATCCTGTCATACAGCTGATGATCGATAATTATATCTGCAAATTTAAACAATAATTTGGTAAATATATTTAATGTTCCATTTAAATTAATTTTATACAGCTATAGTAGAAATCACGAGAGCAAACAAAAATACCAATTTTTCACTGCCTTGGAAATATTTTTGGACAAACTATCGATATTTCGATACTTTACCTGTAATATATCGATACTTTTGACCCTCCCTAACAATTAGCAATAAAATTTATTTATACTAAGGGCTGGCAAAGGTTAGTCTTGGGTCGAGGATTCCGTATGTAAGAAGAGTACAATGCGTTTATAATGTACTGAACAAAGAGAGGACAGTAAACACGTTGCCAAACGTATGAAATAAACCGAGAAACTGTGCACATCGCTAAGAGACGTGGAAGGGGATGTAGCAGATTTGTCGCAGTTGACCGGTCGACCCAATCAATACCTCTGTCAGTACTTAAAGTTCTAGGGAAAGGTGTCCGTCATGCGTTCAGCTTCACGATTTAATTACGACTCGTGATACTTGATTTGTTTATTTATTAACGAGCCGTTGTAATTTTCCCTATAGCTTGAATTTTTTTAAGTGCAAGCTAGAAACACTTGCATTTTTGGTAAAAATAAGTGGAATTGAGTGGGTGTTCGATAGTGGTCGCGCTATTAGAACTCTGAATTCAAAAATCGATATCTCAAAATCTATTAGAAATAATAGATTGTAGTTTTTTCCAGAACTTTGTTAATATTTCTGCTGTATTTTCTTTATAGACAGTATGTGAAAATCTTTATCAATAAAAAAATTACACGATTGCAGAAAATTGCTATGCTCTAAAAGTAAATGGATGGATTGTTTACAATTTTTCAAATGGAAAAAACAACCTTATCGAATTTTTCTTATGTACCCATATTGTAAAATATCCGATCTTGAAAATAAAAAAAAGTTATAATATCTAAAGTGGTTTTTGAGTTATGGCCTGTTATGTGTTAAAAAGTTGAATTTTTAAATTATCGCGATTACTGACGTTTTCTCGTTATAAAAAAAATGACACCCTAACGATATCCTTATAATTTCATTTCAGATGCTCAGAAACATTACAAACCTAATGATTTTATCTAGTTATCTCTTGAAGAAAAAGTCTTTTAAAAATAAACGGTTTGCGATCGTGATTTTACTTTACTTGATAGGGAAAGGCGTATCGGCAACGCCGCAACAGCACACCGTCGCGCATCGCGTCAGTCGGTCGCATTTCTCTCGCTCCGACTTAATAAGATCCCTATGCGATTTACTTCCACACATGTAAATGCCGACCCAAAAGTAACAGTTGCCAGCACGGTATACAGCTACAGTACCATATGATCGAAAAAAAAAACGGCGTCGAAGACGGCTGGGTATTGACAATCAATGATATTTTCTACGAGGTCAAGCCCTAGACGTCATTTATTCGACCCGTGCTTCTTTATTTTTTAGGTTGTTTAAATGGTGTAGTTCAAAATTCGAGAAAAAATATTTTTTAAAAATTCATTTGTGTGTCTAGAAACGTTCTATCCTTTTTTAATCTTTCTATAAATAGCGTTGATTTTTGACAAGTTTTATGTCAATTTTCGGTAAATGACGTCTCGAGATCGACCTCGCCAAAATTATCGTCGATTGTCTTTGACGCCGTTTTTTTTTAAGATCATACGGTATATATCACGAGAATTATTTTAAATTGAACTCAGTATGGTGCTGTCAGAAATACCAAATTTGACTGGTTACCTATATTTCCCCTACAAACTATCGATTTTTCGTATAATATCGATACTTTTCGCCCTCCCGAACGAGTGGTTCAAATGTCCGAAGCATAAATCGATGTACACGGAAAAAAATAATAATTCTGACAAACAAAACTATTTTTTGAACTTTTGCGGTAAGTTCACAGCTAAATATTCAAAAATAAATATGAATAGAGATAAATTCATACATGTCCGTATAAACACTGTATTTTTTTATGATTTAATTACATATGTATAGGCTTGACGCATTTTAGTTAATTTCAACAAATTCCGACGGCAGCACTTCAACGGCAGAAATCAGAAATTATCAATATATAGCGTGAACTATGTCGATGTAATGTCGATCGCATTAAAATAATATTGAAATCGAGGTTTTGTCATGATATTTAAGTATTTTAGTTTTTTGCTAATGCATTTATTGAGACTATAGAACACTCAGGTGCGAGGTTTGTGTGATGTAACGCTGTTTCGGGTAGAAAAAAATAAGTGAAAAAGAATTCAAATTAGGCGTCTTGTTGTGACAATTTCAAATGTTAATAAAATTGCCCCAAAAAATGTTAACGCGTAAAGGACAGCGTAATTAGGGCGTTGTTGAGTGCAATAACATTCAATAACTTAACTTTCCCGGATATTCAACTCTCCCGAAACTACATTTTATAGCTTCATAATTTCTTAACCGATTTGCTCAATAGCAGAAATGGATTCAAGCAGTTTGACAAAACAAATGAGTAAACAAAGTGCTCGTTACAATAATCAAAAAATTAAATAGACATATACTATAAGGGGATAAAATATAATTTGCAACATTAATGGTATACTTTTTTTAATCAACTAGTGATTAGATGTTTTATGAACATCTTCTAAAATTATAATTATGTACCGTGAAATGGGGTGACTTTTCCAATTTTCGTCCGAAAATATGTTAGACGTAGCCGTAGCCACTACTTGAAAAGAACGCGTTATGTGTTATCGGTAAATTATGGGTGGAGGCGCCCCACGTCTCGAAACGTCGCTAAACGCTTGCCATCAGTTGCTATGTAGCATTTACAGTGCTGTGAAGCCAAATCTGTTTTTAAAGCCTATTTTGTGCGTTTCAAACTTCTACGTGGCTGCAATAGTTAACCACGCTATATTGAGGTAAGTATTATGCAGAAGTTCGTTATAATATTGAGGGTGATGACGCATATTTTACGTGATTATGCTTTTAAATGGGGTGGCTTTGGTCTATCAATAAGAATAAGGAAGAGGGCAAAGACACCCCATATAAGCAACTAACTTTGCCCATCCAGTTTTTTACTTTTTTTATATATATATATTTTTTTTAATAAACAAAAAAGCGTATTATTGTTGTTCTTATTACCACTTATAGCATAGACCATGCGCATTTCAGAAAATACAACAATTTTTGAAATAAACACGATTTAAAATTCAGAATTGGGTAAAGTCACCCCACTTCACGGTACCTTTAAAAAATTTCAGCCCCAATTATACCCCACTAGCAAAACTATTGTGATTAAAACTATGTTCGCTACCGTAGTTGAACTCATCTAAAAAGCTTTTTTAATTGGAATAATAAATTATATTACAAGTTAGACCTTCTCAAGATATCAAAATATTTACTTTTTTAGTTTTATTTTTAGAATTTTCACAAATTATACCGTATGATCGAAAAAAAACGGAGTCCAGTTGGCTGGGAAATGACGATCGATGACATTTCCCATCTAAATTTACATATAAAATGACAGCGATCTTCATTTCATAGCCATCGCTGACGCCGTTTTTTCTCGATCATACGGTACTTCCTAACACTTTTAGAATAACTATATAATAAATGTTTTGTATACTCGCTATTTAAACTCGTGTATTTGTATATACTAGTTGTTTACGATATTCTCCGATGGTGGCAGCACCGGCGGAGAATGCATCAAGCCTATAATACCTCCACACATTCCCGAGATAACAAGGTCTTGAGCGTCAGACCACAGATTAGGTATACTATGTGTATACAGATAAAAATCTTATCCCTAAAGCCAGAGTCTCATGCATCCGAAATCCGATGGTACGACATCCGAAATTTGAAGTTATCCTGTGAAATAAAAAAGGGCTGTCACATACATCCGAAAGTTCGATCCGAAATTTGACACTTTTGACATTTTTCTGCTGCAATGAATAGAGATTCATGTCATGTTTTATTGGAGAAACACTTATAAAACTAACTTCCTCGCCAAATATCCCCAAATTGCCCACTTCACGATATCGTACAAAAGTTAAACAAAATTTAACTTTATACGACGTCAGACAATTAGTTAAAATTATCGGATAAAAATTGGTGTCAAAATATTTCGACCAATAGGAGCACCGTCGGATCGTCGTGTCATCGGATTTCGGATGCATGAGACTCCGGCTTAATTCGTGGTACGAAAATTGTTTTTTATGACGATGTGCAAACGAGTTAAATTTCCTGTGCGCAAAAATAAACTCGCGTAAAATAACAATAAACAGCATAATAGAGAGATACCGCTAAACCGAATAGCGTGCATGGACGTTAATAAGGCCAGGTGTTATTTCCTTTACGTGAGGTGGTATTAACTCTCTTCATTTATAGTTATCGGATCGGAAAGAATTCTGTTCGCGTCGCGTCCGCTATTTAAACTTAACCTAACTTTGAATTTAAAACTTTGAAATTGTTTTGTTTACTAGGTATTTTAAAACTAAAGGGCTAAAGTACTGATTTCCAGTGCTTTATTGTTCAACGTCTGTCAGTGGGTTTAGGGCAACACGCAACAAATTCTCTTAGAAGGGCTAAGTCGTCATCTGCTGTAAACCTAAGACTCTTTATAGGTTCTTTAGTATTGGAAGAGGTGAAATCCATATTTTGAGCCACATTTATTTAATTAAAACTAATCCCAGCTACTTAAATATCAAATTACCTAATAAAACTAATGTAATAATTCAAAACAACTCAAACATAACCTAAAATAAAAGATATCGCCGGCCGGCCCCGGTTGTCAAATACCCGCACATGCCCATTTAAGCAATTTTTAAACGTTATTTAGAAATAAGCGTGGTGTAATTGATTCGCAAATTACGTCAGGCGGTAACGTTATTAGCGGGTTTGCGTTAAAAATTGACTTGCGCATATCGTAACCATGATAAGGTACGCGTAAATACTGCATGACGCTATTCGGTTTTCCGATATCTCTCTAATAACTGTGCCGGTCAGGCGCTGTGCACAATTTTAGAGGCCATAAGTGGGCGTGCTATGTGCGCAAACTAGTAACCTAACTAGTGCCCGATTCCGAAAATTGGTACCACGAAAAACAATAAAGAAAATACAACGATTATAATCTGTATAATCTGTGGTCAGACGGAGTTTTTTGGGGTACAGAACCCGCAAAAATCAATAATTTTGATAAACAAAAAAATTCATTTAAATCTTACAGTAAATTTACAACAAAATAATGAAAAAAACAAAGATAAAATTAAAGACGAATACGTACTTCTATCTCCAGGCCCTACACTTAAGATCCTATTGTCGTCAGTAGGATGCCAACAGAAAGATGCCAACGGTCCTGTCGATTTAGGATTAACAATCCTCTCCAGAACCGTTGGTTCCACCTGTTCACTTCCTATTATCGGGTGCTCGATGTCAAACAAGTAGAAAATACCGCTGTCTTTCAGTAGAGACGTCACCCTACAACTCCTAGGAAAAAACATTTACAGAATGTTTCAAATAACAAGTATCAGCTGTATAGTGGGGAGATTCCTCATGTAAAAAGATTTATTTTTTATATCGATATAGGTCCGATTCTCCTTTGTGTCTTAGCTACAGGTGGTTAAAGCTAAGTGCTTTTACAGCGCTTTCAGATAGAGCGGACCGTACGCGCGGAGCGTGACAGTGGCTGTTGTGTCATTATAATTCTTAGGCATATTGTATTTTTGTCATCTGTCGAAAGCTTCCTTGATTTGTTTATATCTTAAAAGTTTTTAATAGTAAGATATACAGTATGTCTGTTCGTTCTGTAGCTACGGGGTATCCGTGAGAGGGGAAACGATATTCTCTCGATGTTTTTCGTAAAAAATTAGATGACGCGTCCCATCAATAAAAATTCGAAAAATTTGCAAGTAGCCAATAAAATGAGTGGGCGGAGCGATTTGCGGTGACGTACTCGTATTCGACGTACGTTGCGGCGACATACTCGTACCGATTTCTTTCGAAAATCGACATCTATGAAAATATGAACCCTTCCTGGACATAAACGGTATATTGTGAGACAGGAAATTGTAGAGAGAAACAAGCCCTATAACATAGGATACAATATTTTAATGAACAGTGCTTTCCATAAAATCAATAAAATGAAAAATATACGAAATAAAAATAAATGTACCGATTTCTTTCGAAAATCGACATCTATGAAAATATGAACCCTTCCTGGACACAAACGGTACATTGTGAGACTGGAAACTGTAGAGAGAAACAAGCCCTATAACATAGAATACAACATTTTAATGAAAAGTGCTTTCCATAAAATCAATAAAATGAAAAATATACGAAATAATATTTATGTTCTAATTTCTTTCGAAAATCGACATCTATGAAAATATGAACCCTTCCTGGACACAAACGGTACATTGTGAGACAGGAAATTGTAGAGAGAAACAAGCCCTATAACATAGGATATAATATTTTAATGAACAGTGGCTTTCCATTAAATCAATAAAATGAAAAATATATGAAATAAAATAAATGTACCGATTTCTTCCGGACGGAGCTTACGCGACCCATGTGAAATCGTTCACATAAACTCATGGTACTTGCTCGAAGTCGCGGACGATCCGTCGCGGACGCTCCGCTCCATCTGAAAACGCTGTTAATGATTCCCAGGGTTGGGTAGGTAGAAAGTATTATATTTTCTACACATAGAAAATTAATTTTCTACACCAACCAATTTTCTACATTTTTCATATGTCCAGACGTAAAAAATTAGTTTTGTATATTGTAAGCCTTTTTGAGTTTGATATTTATTTCAAATATTTCAATCACAACGATTAGTACAAAAAATAAACTAATAACGATATCTCTAATTGTTATTTATTATATGAAAAATGGATAGTATATAGTATGTCAAAAAAAAGCTTAACTATTAACTTCTATATTATTTTAAATTGATATGTACAACGGGAGAATGCGTGACAGTGGCTGTTGTGTCATTATAATTCACAGGCATATTGTATTTTCTGCCATTTTCTGGATGTCATCTGTCGAAAGCTTCCTTGATTTGTTAGACACTATAGTCAAAGTTTACAGATATCTTAAAAGTTTATAATAGTAAGATGTACAGTATGTCTGTTCATTCTGTAGCTACTGGGTATCCGTGAGAGGGGAAACGATATTCTCTCGATGTTTTTCGTAAAAAATTAGACGACGCGTCCCATCAATAAAAATTCGACAAATTTGCAAGTAGCCAATAAAATGAGTGGGCGGAGCGATTTGCGGTAACGTACTCGTATTCGACGTACGTTGCGGTGACGTACTCGTACCGATTTCTTTCGAAAATCGACATCTATGAAAATATGAACCCTTCCTGGGGACAAACGGTACATTGTGAGACAGGAAATTGTAGAGAGAAACAAGCCTTATAACATAGGATACAACATTTTAATAAACAATGCTTTCCATAAAATCAATAAAATGAAAGATATACGAAATAATATACATGTTCTGATTTCTTTCGAAAATCGACATCTATAAAACTATGAACCCTTCCTGGACACAGGTTTTCTATGGTAAAATTACCCAAAAGGAACAACAAAAACTTTCAAAGAAAAAAAAACACACCCTGTAGCAGTAAACAAATCAGAGTTGGACCTATGTCGATATAAAAAATAAATCTTATTCTTACATGAGGAATCTACCCACGAGTGACGGTACATGTTTTTTGAAACACCCTGTATACAAAAAATATTTTTATCGAGGTTAAGTTGTCTTACTTGATTGGATTCCAGGCGAGTTTCGCTACGGGCCTGTTCTGCGTTAGAACCTGAATAGGTTTCTCCATGTTTCTGGTGTCCCAAATAAATACTTGATTTTCAAAGTATGAAGCTAAGTATTTATCATCTTTTGGATTGGCACATATTCCAAAAGCTGCCTTGGTTAATGTGGTACTTACTAATCTTGGCGATTCTACAACACGATTTGTATTCCTTACAAACTGTCAAGATGTAGAATATTATGAAATATTTTATTGACTAAAATGCTTACCACGAATGTCAAACAGCTTAATATGTTTCAAATTCATCCCTGCCGCCAGAATTTTGCAGTTGTTATGAAACCATACGATAGTCTGGCAATGTTCGGCCATCCCAAATTCCCACAAAGGTTTTGGGTTATCCGTTCCTGGCGAAGCTTTTTCGGATTGAAAAGTACTGATTTCACATGACGATGGTACTTGATTGATATCCCAAATAGCGATACAATGATCTGGTTTATATTTATCGAAGCTCGTGGCCAGTAGATTGTTTTCTACTGGATTGAACTCCACAGTGTTGCATTGCCTTGAATATTTTGGAACTGGAAAAAAATTATATGAAAAATACTGGCAAAAGGTGATTTAGGGTGTTAACAATACCCAATTCCCTGCCCGAAAAAGTTTTTGAGTCCCATTCAAGCTCCCCAAACGTGGATAATCGAATTTTTCCATTTGAGAAACCCAAAGCGAGAAACAAATCTTTCTCGGATTTAGGGTGAATGTCTAAACACTTCAAGTAATGCAAATTGTTCACGCACGCTATTATGTCCGCGCTGGTGGTCTTAGATATCTTAATAGCTGCAAAATAACAAGATAATTAGACGTTTTGTGTATAGAAACTTACAAAATTTCCACCATTTTGAGGAGCCTCTTGTGTAGGTTTGATCTCGTACAAGTTTATAGTGTCGTAGGTCCAAGTTATAAACTTGTTTCGTAAAGGAGTCCACGATATGTCCAGTTTAGAAACCATAGCAGCTTTATTAAAATATCTATAAAATTAAATAAGCACTATTTAGATTTGATTTCGACGTAGATATTTGTTTACAAATATAAGAAAATGAGGTTAGCAAATAAATCGTTTAAAACTGTCAATTGGGTCTATAGATATGTCTGTCTTTCTTTAATTCAATGGGTTAAAAAAAAAGAGATAGATTTTTTACAGGAGCCTTTTTGCTTGTCAAGTGTCAATATTTTTTTTGATACATAACCTTAAATGTTGACTAGCGATAATGAATTTGGACTTTTAAATGCACTGCTTTAAAATATTAATGTTTTTAATCGATTAATTGTTGTACTGTTCGTGTAAAATGACTACGTTTTGTGTATCCCAAGAGGGCCCAGTAAATGCCCTGGCCCTAAATCGTGATAATAACCAGGTTGCTATAGGTGGAAGAAATGGTAAGGTTTTCTTTTCCTTTAAACATTTTCATTTCTTATAATTAATTTAACGAAAAAAGCTAGAGAATGAACACATTTTAGAGCTCTTTTTATTACATATCTTCAAGGAATAAAAATAAGTTTGTATGGAGTTTCTATAGAATAGAAATATTACCTGTTTTTCTTTGGGGATGATGGTAATAGTTTTTTGGGGCTTAGACTTTTCAGATTCATATTTGCAGGAATGTTTTATTATTTATATTAACGACGAAACACACAAATACTAACTAAATAGTTTAAATTGCTATGCCAAGGATAATTTTTTTAACAAATGTCCATATCACAATTTTTTTGCTTCTACATACACGTTTTTTTCTGTTGCAGTTTTTAAGGTCTATCAAATCGAAGACGATAAGTTCCGTGAAGTGTGCAATTTGAGGAATTCCAAGCATTTAAATTCTGGCTTTTCTTGTAATGATGTCGCCTGGAGCCTTACCGATGGTAAATCATTGCAAAAGACTCATATTTGAGAGTATGTAAGCTATTTTAAACGTTCCTAGATCATTATTTGGCGACAGCAGCTACAAACGGACATGTTTGTGTTTGGAATCTTTCAAAAACCGGGCGTCCCACCCAAGAACAGGACTACCAAGACCACAAACGGACAGTTAATAAAGTTAATTTTCATGCTACGGAGCCGTTTAAGTTGATTTCGGGCTCACAGGATGGTACCATGCGATATTTTGATATCAGAGTGCCTGCTGCAGTTACAATATTTCAAAGGTTGTTATTTATATGATACGGGGTCCTCAGGCATTTGTAGGTTCTATAAAAAAGAATTTTGTTTGTGCATACATAAAGTGCTAATATTTTTTTTTAAATGGAACACCCTGTATATTATTGCATTTTTGGCTTCCTTTTTAATGACAGACATTTTAATACAGGGTTGTTCAAATTGCATGCTAAACTTTCTAAAACAAAATAATTTTACATTGTTTTTTTTTGCAAGAAGCACCCTGTATATTATTCTTTTGTTAAATAGAGAATTGAAAAATGAACATTTGTTGTATTTAACGTACCATATGATCGAAAAAACGGCGTCAGCGATGGCTATGAAATGAAGATGCTGTCATTTTATGTGTAATTTTTTTTCGGAAATGTCATCGATCGTCATTTCCCAGCCAACTGTACGTCGTTTTTTTTCCGATGATAAGGTATTTTAATTTTTTTTCAACGGTAAAATACCAGATAAAATCATTAGGTGGCTTCGATCAAAATTTACTGTTGAAAAAACCATATGTAATATAATACCGCAAATATCTGCTAAACCACTAAAAATTTTGTAATACGTTAAATACAACAAATGTTCGTTTTTTAATTTTGCATCTAACAAAAAAATAATATACAGGGTGTGCCATTTAAAAAGAACAAGAAAAATTATTTTATTTTTTTAGTAAGTTTGGCATGGAATTTTGAACGCTCTGTACGATTTAAGATTACGATATTTATAGAAAAGTAAGTACAGACTAACTTTAGTTAATATAGTTTTGATTTCAGAACAGTTCTTGTAAATATTTTTAATATTTTTTTCTTAAAAGGCTGATTTTTTCAAAATTTATTTATTATCTCTGAAACTAGCAAAATATATTTAATAATATCTTAGGATCATGTAAAGTAACCAGAAAGAAAGCCAAAAATGCTATTTTTCTGAAATACATCCTAGTACTTACTTTAGGCTTGCACTTAAAAAATCCTAAGTTCTGTTTTATATAGGAGCTACAGATGCCAGAAGCACTGTTTCAGAATCCTGTATATACACTATCGGACAAAAGTAGAGCAACAGAGTTCATTTTTATTCATGTTTAAATAAAAAAAAATATTAGGTTGTGATTTTCGGCTATGCTTACTAACACACTGTATTATTATGTGTTTGTTGTTGAAATAATATAAAATATCTAATTATAACTTGTAAATTTTGATATTTTAACATGATTTTAACTACTTTTGACAATAGAGAACAACGATATACGGTCGAGTCGGCCGCTGCTGGAACGTATACGTAGACGTAAAGAATCTTTTACGTGTATAAAAAATGAAAAATATAAGAAATGCGCATGCGTACGTAAAAGTTTACGTGTTTGTAGGCCGACTCGACCTCTAATAACTAACTTTTTGTTATCAAGATGACATTTTAGAGGCAACTGACATATATGTCATAATATTTGAATCTTAAATATGTATGTAATATAATTTAAATTACTATAATGCAACTTTATACTAAGAAAACATTTGTACATTCACAAAATACAACAAAGTCTAATAATATAGTTTGAAAACAATGAATATTGAATTAAAATTGAAAAAGTTAAGCGCGACCCCTTGTGTCAAAATTAGATGATTAAATTTTCGCAATTTTTACACCATTTGATGACTTGTGGCGCCTCTAGTGTTTGTTCGGGCGGTTGGTCTTTTACTCCCGCTTATGGCCATTAAAGAAAAAGTTCTAAAGAGGGATGTTTTGTGTATTAAACATTTAAAACTAAATGTCAAAATAAATTCATTTGTTTTGTTAGTAAAAATTCTTGCTGTCATGGATACTCATAGCTTACTTCGTAGTTTTTAAATTTATTGTATTTGTATACATTATCATGCATGTATAATTAAAAAATCGCGATTTACAAATATTTCTCGAAGTGTTGCTCTACTTTTGTCCGATAGTGTATACACTGTGATCAAAAATAATAATTTATTTTATTATAGTAACACAGAAAGTATCAGGGACGTCCAGTTCAGTCCGCACAATGCCTACATGTTTTGTGCGGTCTCCGACAACGGTAGCGTTCAACTGTGGGATGTGCGCAAGCCCGAAAAGTTCCAGCAACAGTTCACAGCGCACAGTGGTCCGGTTTTTGCCTGCGATTGGCATCCGGAATCACCGTGGCTGGCTACATCGAGCAGGGACAAAACTATTAAGGTTAACGGCCAAAAAATAACTTTATTTCTTACTGAATTAATATAAGCTTTTATCGTCTTGGTTGCGCTAATCATAAATAGAGTTATAACTCCATTGGGATAGTATTAACGGGAATTAAGGTGCCATAATTCTCTCTACCTTTTATAGGTAACAACCATGAAACACAATAGAGATTTTGAGTAGGTTATAATATAAAATGAAAATGGACACTCATCAAACTACTCTAATAATTCATTTACATCATTACCATGCTGGCAATTAAGTTGGAGTGAGAGAAATGCGACAGTTGCCACATTTCTCCGGCACGCCTTTCCCTATCAAAGCAAGTAAAATCACGATCGCAAATCGCTTATTTTTAAAAAACTTTTTTTTCGAAAAGATAACCAGATAAAATCATTAGATATGTTTCTGAGCATCGGAAATGGAATTATAAAGATATCGTTAAGGTGTCCATTTTTTTTTATAACGAGAAAACGTCAGTAATCTCAAGAATCACTTTAGATATTATAACTTTTTTTTTATTTTGAAGTTCAGATCTTTTACAAGATGTTTTAATAAGAAAATATCGATAAGCTGTTTTTTTCCATTCAAAAATTTAAAAAAATATTCATTTACTTTTAGTGCAAAGCAATTTTTAGCAGGCGTGTAACTTTTTTATTTATACAGGTTTTCACATACTGTCTGCCAAGAAAATTTAGCAGAAATATTAAGAAAGTTAAAAAAACTACAATCGATTATTTCTAATGGATTTCGAGATATCGATTTTTGAATTCAGGGTTCTAATAGCGCGACCACTGTCGAAAACCAACTCAATTCCACTTATTTTTTACCAAAAGTGCAAGTGTTTCTAACTTGCACTTAAAAATTTACAGGCTATAGGGAAAATTACAACGACTAGTTGATAAATAAACATAAAGTATCACGAGACGTAATTAAATCGTGAAGCTGAACCTTTCCCTAGAATTTTAAGTACTGCTTACTAAGTACTACTTCTTATCCCCTTTAACGTCTCTTAGCAATGTGCACAGTTTTTCGGTTGATTTCATACGTTTGGCAACGTTCTTACTGTTCTTTCTTTGTTCAGTACATTATAAACGCATTGTATGTACTCTCCTTACATACGGAAATCTCCACCCAAACTAACCTTTGCTAGGCCTCAATAAATTAAAAATAAATTTACAAGAGAACAGTTTCATCTTATTTGTTTAGCCAACGTAAATTTTTATTTAACCATAAAATTATATAAATTATTATTAAAAATATATGTTTACTAGAATGTTTATTAAACTATATTTTCCATTAAATTTAATTCATATTCTGTAGACATTAGGCACGTGACCATAGAGTTAAAAATTGGCACGACTATGAAAAACCCTTATCTATCGGCAAAATTTAGAAAAACCTATCGGCATATTGTTTTTTCTCATGCTGACATAAATGTGAGAAAATTTTATCCAGTTTGTATGTTAATGGAAATTCTTGCTTTGCTTTATCATCACCATTACAGATGATTAATTCGACGCGAACGAAGTCGCTGGTACACGCTAGTATCCGTTATAAAACACTTGTTAGCGTTTTTTTTTTCGATCCCGTACGCCTGAAAGTTTTTAATTATTTTATTAAGTGCTACAAATATAAAAATCGGCCTGGTTTAACGATTGGCCGATATTTTTTCGAAACTTTTTACAACCAATCATAAATTTATATCTTTATTAATCGAATTTATTTGTTAAAAAATCAATTTAAGCCAATCTTATTGTTGGGAAATAACGCCTTGCTTAATGTCGCCATATGTGAAGGAAATAAGTTCATACCAAATAAACTTTTAGTCACGTGATTAAGCTTGACCGGCACAGCGTTGCCTACTTTTATACATTTTATTTTAATCAAAATATTTTAGAAAACAAAAATAAATTAATTATAAATATACAGGGTTGTTCACCACATACGACATGGAGTATTGTAGCTAAACGATGAGATTTTTACAAATTGTAAGTTTGGGGTTCGTTGAAGGACTATTAGAACTACAATTTAAAAATATTTTACAAGATACAGAGTGTCCCAAATAAATAAAAAATATCAAAGTTGTATTTTTTTAAATGGAACACCCTGTATATTATTACATTTTTAGTTTCTACGATTAAAATAAAGGTAAATTTGATTAAGGTTTATTATACTTAAACCTTACCGTTTTTGAAATATTTTCAATTTTGTGAAATTGCACTAAAAATTTTAAAGCTTCATTTCTCCAAGGGTATCAATGTTTTTAATACTAAATATTTAATGAAGTTTATTTATTGATCAGTTATTGTGTTGCAATAATAAAAATAATACTAACTTATACAGAGTGTCTAAAAATTTATTTTAAATAATTCTTAGCTTCAAACGGCAATAACTTCTTTAATTTAAATGGAATGCCCTGTATATTTTAGGAGAATCAGATGCACAATTAAATTGTCTATCAAATTGTATTATACCATTTTTTACCTATCCCTTCAAGTTTTCGTATAAAATGCATTTTCTTATAATTTAGACCTCATTTATCAATATATCAATGGAATATTGACATTTTAGATTGTTTTTAAAGCAACAAATGTACAAAATGTACAGACTAGTAATATTATCGTTTTTAGCAAAACGATAATATTACTAGCCCATTTGTATGCAAAAAGAAAACTATTTAAATCTTTATAAAAGAGTATACCATTAATTAAATATAACACCATTATTTGCGCCCATATACTAATTAATTACATACTTAATTGTGTTCGTTATAAATTATTATAAATAAATGTGGATTTGAGTCAGAAATCAATATAATAATAAGTTATCAAATTAAAGTCTCTGTTGTTATAAATAAGCATTTATTAAAAAATAAAATATCATTTTTAAGGTGTTACTTTTTATCACACTGTCTAATGCCCATACAAAATTCAGTTTTTTAGTATTTGTAGCAATTATTATTAATCAACGCAAACAGTCAGTTAATGTAGTTTGAATACTGGAATCATATTAATTGGTCCTCTTTAACAAATATTTAAACAGTTTTTTTTTATTTTTTAATGAAATAAACGAATTATATCGACAATATTAGTATCTGTACTCTTTAAAAATTTGGTACATCTTCAAAAATAATCTAAAATATCAATAGTCCATGGGTATATTGATAAATAAGTTCTAAATTACAAGAAAATGCATTTTCTACGGAAACTTAAAGAGATATGTAAAAAATGGTATAATATAATTTGATAGACAATTAAACTGTGCATCTGATTCTCGTAAAATATACAGGGTGTTCCATTTAAATTAAACAAGTTATTGCCGTTTGAAGCTAATAATTATTTATTTAAAATAAATTTTTAGACACTTTGTATAAGGTAGTATTATTTTTATTATTGCAACACAATAACTGATCAGTAAATAAACTTCAGTAAATATTTAGTATTAAAAACTTTGATACCCTTGGAGAAATGAAGCCTTCAAATTTTTACTGCAATTTCACAAAATTGAAAATATTTCAAAAACGGTAAGGTTTAAGTATAATAAACCTTAATTAAATTTACCTTTATTTTAATCGTAGAAACTAAAAATGCAATAATATACAGGGTGTTCCATTTAAAAAAATACAACTTTGATATTTTTTATTTATTTGGGACACTCGATATCTTGTAAAAATATTTTTAAATTGTAGCTCTAATAGTCCTTCAACGAACCCAAAACTTACAATTTGTAAAAATCTAATCGTTTAGCTATAATACTCCGTGTCGTATGTGGTGAACAACCCTGTATAACCAGTTATTTACATCGAATGAATCTTTCAGACAAAATTCACTTTCTTAACAGCACTTAAGGCACATAAAGGGCCATTACTACCGCTTTCCCGTTCAAAATGTTCTAATAAAGTTGCGACGAGTTTTTTACGGCTATTAAGCTATCTTGTAAAAAGAACCACGTTCGACTGCAAGGACTGCTAGTAAACATTTTTAAGCTTAAAGAATCACAACACTATTTATTTAACCCAAAAACTCGCAATACAAAACTAAAGTGTCAAAACGAATGACGATGTCAGGAAATAAATAAATAAATGCGGCAACTTGACATTTTTTACAGCAGAGCTAATACCAGCAGCGTTAATACAAATACTAAGGGCAGGCAAAGGTTAGTCTTGGGTCGAGATTTCCGTATGTAAGAAGAGTGCGTTTATAATGTACTGAACAAAGAGAGGACAGTAAACACGTTGCCAAACGTATGAAATAAACCGAGAAACCATAGAGAAAGTTAATAGTTTAGAGAGTGGTAAATCGCGTGGTAAAATGTTGGGAGATTGCGCTTTTGGCGCCCTCTAGTTGGCTACAGAAACGAACTATGAAAGAGCGGGAGATTTAAATTATTATTATACTTATTATTTTTAAGGCAATTAAAACTAAGAGTGCCCTTAACCAAAAACAGTGAAATAAATGGAGATACCTACTCAATTTTTATATTATCATGATATTAAAGGATATAAATACAGCATTTATAATCCTTTTACACCTTTTTAATCAAAGTCTTACACGCTAATATAAAATTTGACTATCTCCATTTATTTCACTATTTTTGGTTAACGGCACTCTTAATTTTAATTTTCCTTTTTTTATGGGAAAATGATTAAATGGGAAGAATTGAATGGGAATGGAAAGAGTGACCAATTATTGTATTTTGTATTAATTTATAATACCCCTATTCTACTAAATATCTAGCTACATTGTACTTACAGTTAAATAGCTACATTGTACTAGTTATATACATATTTACAGTTTTATGATGGCTATTATTTCTTTTCATTGTGCTATCTATTGATTCGATCCGACTTGAGTACTATACCTCGAGATGGCTCCAGGAATTATTTATCTTTACAGGCCTAGAATATGAAGATTCACAGTAGAATTTTTGGTTTTACTGCCTATTAGAAACAAACCTACCCCCCTACATCAAGGGGCATACAATTATGCCTTGTTCTCGGCCATGATATTCCTTCCATTCTATATCCAACATCCAACTTAGCACACCTTCTGGTTCACAACAGGGCCTAGACTGGTCGGATGATATTTTAACAGAATAGACCTTGATATCTCTTTCACACTTTCATTTAATAATTAAATAGGAGGGCTGGATGGTATAATTTCTAGAAAGAATAGCCTGTGAAATAAAAACTTCTGCATGGACATTACCTTTCTTACCTTTGTCTGCTATTTTTTAATAAAAAACAACTGTTTAGTTTGCACAAAAATAAAATTAACAATCAAAAATTTCTTAAAAAATGATCAAGCCTTGTACTACGCCGCGTGCCGCTTTTTGAACAAACAACAAACAAAAGAATGAGGTTAGCGGCGTTGCCAATGTCAATTTTCTAAACCACCCAAAAATCTAAATTAAATTCGCCAATTTGGGGAGAAAAATGTCCCGATTCACCAAAAATTCCCCATATGATTATTTTAACAAAAAAAAATAATTTTAATAAAAATACAATATTTATTATATATGTTAGAGGGATTAAACTGTAAATTCCCTCCTTGTTTTTTAATCCCTTCCCTAATAGTCATTAAATAATATGAGGTCACTAAATTTTCTTTCAACTGAAGCATTTGCAAAGGGAAGCACAAGTAAAAAGCAGATTATAATTTTTAAGTTGGGAACGATATATCGTCCCGCTCCGTTTTTAAAGCTAAAAATTTTACGTCATTTTCAATCAGCAATAAAATGTTGCAACTCCCCTTATTTTCGCCGCCTATTGCTAATCCCCACAAAATTCCCAATCGGCTCCGGATTCCCCAAAATTTGGGGAATTCCCCACAAATTGGCAACGCTGGAGGTTAGCGTGTTCTTTCTGAATATGCTAAGACTAACGGACTAGTATCGAAACACAGATAGCTAGATGGACGTATTTCCGCACTTGCGTCGATGCGCTACAGGAACATTTGCCTGCGCGTCGTATGTCTTCTGGCAGTCTTTTAATTTTTCTGTTTGTCTATGCAAGAAACTATGCACATCGCTAAGAGACGTGGAAGGGGATATAGCAGATTTGTCGCAGTTGACCGGTCGACCCAATCAATACCTTTGTCAGTACTTAAAGTTCTAGGGAAAGGTGTACGTCATGCGTTCAGCTTCACGATTTAATTATGTCTCGTGATACTTGATTTGTTTATTTATTAACGAGTCGTTGTAATTTTCCCTATAGCTTGAATTTGAAGTGCAAGCTAGAAACACTTTCATTTTTGGTAAAAATAAGTGGAATTGAGTTGGTTTTCGACAGTGGTCGCGCTATTAGAACTCTGAATTCAAAAATCGATATCTCGAAATCTATTAGAAATAATAGATTGTAGTTTTTTCAAGAATTTTGATAATATTTTTGCTGTATTTTCTTTGTAGACAGTATGTGAAAATCTTTATCAATAAAAAAATTACACGATTGCTGAAAATTGCTATGCTCTAAAAGTAAATGAATGGATTGTTTACAATTTTTATTAATCTTAATCCGGCTTATGTAAACATATTGTAAAATATCCGATCTTGAAAATAAAAAAAAGTTTCAATATCTAAAGTGGTTCTTGAGTTATGGCCTGTTAAAATGACACCCTAACGATATCCATATAATTCCATTTCAGATGCTCAGAAACATTACAAACCTAATGATTTTATCTAGTTATCTCTTGAAAAAAAAGTATTTTAAAAATAAGCGGTTTACGATCGTGATTTTACTTTACTTGATAGGGAAAGGCGTATGGCAACGCCGCAACAGCACACCGTCGCATTTCTCTCTCTCCAACTTAATAAGATCCCTATGCGATTTACTTCCACACATGTAAATGCCGACCCAAAAGTAACAGTTGCCAGCACGGTATACCGGGAGATTAATAAATGCAACATTTGTGTCCTTTTAAAATGGGACAAAATATACTAAATTCAATAAGAAATAAAATTATCTATGTACCACGGGGCTTAAAAAGTGTTAATATCCTCGGGCAATCATTGTCCCTGGCTAACAATACCCTTATGAATCCCTTGATAAACAAATAACTATTTTTTCGAAATAGGTGTGGGATTTGACAGCTAAACCAACCCTAGAATACACCATACACACCATAGCTTCAATTGGTCACGTTAAATGGAGGCCTCAGTATAAGTTCCACATAGCCAGTTGCGCACTGGTCATAGACTGCAGTATAAACGTGTGGGATATTAGGAGACCTTATATTCCTTTTGCGTCGTTTACCGAGCATAAGGATATTGCCAGTGGCGTGGTATGGAAGGGGGATCCCAATGTGTTCCTCAGCAGTGGCAGGGTAAGTTTTTATTTATTACAGAGGTAATTTTAGTTTTTTTCTGAATTATACGTGAGCATTAAATAAGTGCAAATATTTATGAAACAGAAAACACGATTATGAGTTTTTTTTCGCTAAAAAAAATTGAAAATTTCGATTTTTTTTTATTTTTTTATAGATTTTAGTTAAAAAACGTAACTTCTTGATAATATGGCAAGGTAGGTAGTACATTAAATTTACAAAACGAAAATCCAGAAAAGATCCAGTGGTTCTCAAAATTTAAGCAAAAAATAATTTTTTTGTATTTTTTTAATAGTTATCGAGATATTTGGAATCGAAATTATCAGTACCCATGGTACAAAGAAAACAAGGTATGATCGATAGCGGCTCCAATTTCGTTAAGTTTGCGCATACCACCTGTGACGTCATACGCCATACAAAAAAATATCCATATTGTTCAATTGCCACTAATAAAAAAACGACCTAAAATAGAGAAGAATTAGGACATAACCCCAAAAGTTATGTCAAATCATCGAGCTTGACATTTAAAAAATTATTTTCACATTTATTCTGTCATCTGTTTGACAATTTGAAATTGGCGCGCGGAGCCTGCCGACCAATGGTACCGTTTATCACCTGTGACGGTGTCGGGGAAGGGATCATAGTTTCATAGTTGTCGATTTTCGAAAGAAATCAGTACATGTATATTATTTCGTATATTTTTCATTTTATTGATTTTATGGAAAGAACTGTTCATTAAAATGTTGTATCCTATGTTATAGGGCTTGTTTCTCTCTACAATTTCCTGTCTCACAATGTACCGTTTGTGTCGGGGAAGGGATCATAGTTTCATAGTTGTCGATTATCGAAAGAAATCAGTACATGTATATTATTTCCTATATTTTTCATTTTATGGAAAGCACTGTTCATTAAAATGTTGTATCCTTTGTTATAGGGCTTGTTTCTCTCTACATTTTCCTGTCTCGCAATGTACCGTTTGTGTCAGGAAAGGGATCATAGTTTCATAGTTGTCGATTTTGAACATGTTGACTAAATAGTTTTTAGCTTGAAATCATAAATTTGAAATGTTTTTGTGGTGCCAAAAGTTCGACAGCAACTGTTTTATCATCATTTTTTTGAAGGAAAATTTATGATTAATTTTAAAAAATAAAATTTTCCCAAATTTATTATTTTAGTCAAATTACTATCTTCTCAACATGTTTATTTTTTGTCAATAATGACATGTATTGACTATTTCCATTTTAGATATCTTGAGAACGGTTGCTCGTAGCGGTTTTTACCAAGAGACATTTTTTACGTAAAAAATCACGGAAATAACCTAACCCCCTACAAATAGGAGTCATATTGACAACAAAATCAAATTTCTCATGTCAAAAAACTCACAGACACCAATTTTCATCCAAATATTGTGATGTTACTTCAGAAATTATTTGGAACAAATCGAAATAAAAATAAAACTTCTACACCCTGTATCTCCGAAACTAAGCATTTTAGGACATACATTTATACGAACTTTTTTACTTATTGTTATCTGCAGAATGTGCTGCGGAAGTTTCTGCAATACAGTTCGGATCACCCGGTATATTCGCGAGTATTTCTATACATATTTTTTTTTTCTGGTTTGGTGTGGAATTAAAATATTGAGATACACCCTTACACCCTTTTTATAAAAAAAATAAAATTTCTATTGTATATTTTTGTTCTGAAGATCCATGTCATTACCTCAATCTTCCAGGACTCAACATTATACCATCACTCATTCAGCGACGGGCAAAGACCCGCAAGCAAAGCAAACCCCCAAGGCGTCTCACTCAACAACAGAGGAGAGGTGATCTACTCGAGAAAAATAAACTACGTCATGTCAAACAGCAACAGCTGCTCACAAAACTCGCTCAGCAAAGCCGTAGGCTTAATGAGGAAAACCTCAACTACCCAGGCGGTGGATAACTTCCATCAAGCTTCCAGCTGTATCTACGCTTTCAGGCCAACGAATTCCGAGACTGAGGAGTCCTCGGTGTTTCTGGATCTGGCTAAGAACTACGTGCTGTGCGGTAGGACGGTATCCGAGTTATGTGAAAGGAATTCGGCCATAGCTAAGCAGTTCGGGAAGCACGACGTGGCTCTGACGTGGAAGATTATGGGTACTATGTATGGGGAGGAGTTTGTGCAGCATTTGAACGCTAGCAGCACCGCTTTGGAGGAGAGTACCGGTGCTCCGGTGAACGCCGAAGGTATGTTTGGAAATTACTAATCTAATATGTCTCTTTGCAATTCTATCTAGGAATTAATTAGTTGTATATTTTTATATGTACTTATAATTAAGGATTTTTTGCATAATCCGGCAACATTGATTCGTCGAACGCTATTGTCAGGTCGTGCAAAAATTTGCAAATATTCTAAAACTGCCACGGTATAAGTACAGAGAGAATTCTAGATAGATCCTGCATTTTTATGTGGAATAATTAATATTTAGGATTTTTTGCACAATCCGGCAACGTTGATTCGTCGAACGGTATTGTCAGATCGTACAAAAATTCCTAAAATTCCTGAAACTGTCACGGTTTAAGTGCAGAAAGAATTCTAGACGATCCTGCATTTTTATGTGGAATAATCAATATTTGGGATTTTTTGCACAATCCGGCAACGTTCATTCGTCGAACGGTATTGCCAGATCGTGCAAAAATGCCTAAAATTCCTGAAGCTGCCACGGTTCTAAGTACAGAAAGAATTCTAGACGAATCCCCTGTATTTTTAGGTGAAATAAACAAAATTCCGGAGTTTTTGAAAATAAAATAAAAAAGCACGTTATAATTTAACCCTGTTTTTTACCAATAAAGAACAAGCGCCAGACACGCCAGCGGCGGCGCAGTTCAGTGGCGGAGACGAGGAAACAGAGAACGAGGATCAAGTGGACAACGCCTTCCCCAACTACCTGAATGTACGCGACGGTTGCCTACCCAGAGGAGACTTCTTCTTTGGAGAGAACGAGTTAGATGTTGAATTGGACGGGGCTCCAATGTTTATGGATTATTACCAATATGGACGGTTCAATCCCGTCGAATACAATGAGATCGATTGGACCTTGCCTATAGAAGCCTTTGATATCAGACACGAGATCTTGGACAGGTTAGTACAGGGTGTCCCATTATCGCGAGTTTTATGGGGTTTCTCGTTTATGAGTGTGCTATTTTTTTGTACAATTTTTTTACACAATCTATACTTGCTTATTTTTTTATTGAAACTGATCCTGCATTTTCATGTGAAATAAGCAAAGTATAGAATTTTTGGCACTATCTGGCAACATTGAATCGCCGAACGGCGTTGTCAGATCGTACTATAAATCCTAAAAATCTCGAAACTACTGCGGATATGCGCCGTCCGAAATCTAGACGATTATTGCATTTTTACGTAAATACGCAAAATTTGAGATGTTTTACACAATCTGATAACGTTGATTCGTCGAATTGCTTTTGTCAAATTGTACGAAAAATCCTAAAAGATCTCTAGACTCTAAATAAATCGAGCATTTTTGAGTGAAATTATCAAATTTTGGTATTTTTACACAATCTGGCAACGTTGAATCGTCAAACGGTGTTGTCAGATTGTGCAAAAATTATTTAAAATCCATAAAATGACCGAGATATAGTTACAGAGAGAAATCTAGACGAATCCTCAATTTTTAAGCGAAATTATCACTTTTTAGAATTTTTTTGTACATTCCGGCGATTGGTTGTGCGGTGTTGTCAGATGGTGCAAAAATTCCTAAAAACTCCGATTTAGTCTTTACAGGACGAGTATACCGTGGGCATATGGATAGACGAGAAATCTTTGTACAGGGTGTCCTATTTTCGTGTGTTTTATGGGGTTTCTCGTTTTGGGGGTTCTCGTGCTATTTTTTATGAAATTAGAGATGCTACACACAGATTTACTTGTACTTATTTATTTTTGAAATATGTTAAACAAAAACTGTTTTTGTTAAACTTTTATTAGGTCCCCACCTCCCGAACATTTCCCTCACCATTCACCAGATATCCGTGAAGATTCTTCACAAACAGTACTTCAGGTTGAAGAACCTCAGCCAGGGATGCTCACGGTCGGTACTCCGTCAAAAAAATTGATGTGGGACCCCAGTTCGATTGTTGTTGACACTTTACAGTATTACTCTGCCCTAGGAGACGTACAAACAACGGCTACAATCCTGATAGTATTGGGCGATAGCAGAAAGTATTTAACAGGTAAGAACCTCGCCAGAACTTTACAGTAAAATATTCAATAATAGAAGAAATCTGCAAAGTCTAGGACTTTTTGCACAATATGGCAACGTTGAATCGTAGAACGGCGTTGTCAGATTGTGCAAATATTCTATAAAATCCCCAAACTACTGCAATATAGTTATAGAGAACTCACGGGAATCCTGAATTTTTAGGTCGAATAAACATATTTGGGGATTTTTTGCACAATCCGGCAACGTCGATTTAACGTGCGGCATTGTCAGATGGTGCAAAAACTCCTAAAAAATCAGATTTAGTCTCTACATGACACACTTTACAATGGAATTTAATAATTAATAGATACAAAGAAGAATCTAGACGAATTCTCTATTTTTAGGTGATATAAGCAAAGTGTGGAATTTTTGCACACTCTGGCAACGTTGAATCGTCGAACGGTGTTGCCAGATTGTGCAAAAATTTTTTTTTTCTTTAAAATCCAGAAAACTACCGCGATATAGTTACAAAAAGAAGTTTAGACGAATCCTGAACTTTTAGATCAAATAAATTTATTTGGGGATTTTTTGCACAGTTCAGCAACGTGCGGTATTGTCAGATGGTGCTAAAATTCCTAGAAATCCAGATTTAGTCTCTACAGGACAAAAATCAGATTTAGACCCTAAGGAACAGAACTTTACACTAAAATTCGATAAAGTTAAATATGGGAAAACACCGGATTGTGTAATTTTTCGGTTTTAGGGCTTAGCGAAGCTCTACAAGAACACTGGTTACTCGGCTACATCGACCTCCTCAGCCGATACAAGATGTGGAACACTTCAACGCAAGTAATTAAGCTATCATGGTTGCCCTCAGTCAGTCAGTTGAACCAGCAGAGCACTACCATCAACACTAACTGCGGGAAGTGTTTGAAGCCTTTACAGAGAGCCGGATGGTTGTGTGACAGGTGTCATACGTCAGAATACGGGTTGTGTAGCGTGTGCAACCAAGTCGTTAAAGGTGGGTAATTTTTCTTGTGTTATAAAAACCCGTTTATTTAATGCTAACATCAAGTTATTATGTATGTTATTTATTTTATTTGACAGGTACTTACGTGTGGTGTCAGGGCTGTTCTCATGGCGGTCATATTTTTCACATGAGGAATTGGATGTCAGACAAAACCACTTGTGCGACGGGCTGTGGACACGTGTGCGAGTACAACTGATATACGAGAAGATCCAGTGACGTAGTGCCTTGACAGGTGCCCTGAAAAATGACGCGGCCCACCTAAAAGCGACGCGATAAACGATTTTTATGGTTTCTCTTGCCGCCAAATGTTCCTTTACAACCCCAAAGACTGCCACTGTATAGGTAGAGAGACAAATCGAGACGAAACCTGCATTTTTAGGTGAAATAAGCAACATTTCGGATTTTTTGTACAATCTGGCAACGCCGATTCCAGTCCGCAAGACAAATCATGCATTTTTACGTAAAATACCGAAAATTTTGGATATTTTCCACTATCTGACAACGTCGATTTGTCGAACGGTATTGTCATATTGTGCAAAAATTCTTAAAAATCCTGAATCTACCGCGGTATAGATGTAGAAGGAACTGACAGATCATGCATTTTTACGTAAAATATCCAAAATTTAGGATATTTTTCACAATCTGGCAACGTCGATTTGTCGAACGGTATTGCCATTTTGTGCACAAATACCTAAAAATCCTGAATCTACCGCGGTATAGATCTAGAAGGAACTCTAGACAGATCCTGCATTTTTATGTAAAACACCCAAAATTTAGGATATTTTTCACAATCTGGCAACGTCGATTCGTCGAACGGTATTGCCATATTGTGCAAAAATTACTAAAAATCCTGAATCTACCGCGATATAGATGTAGAACGAACTCTAGACAGATCCTGCATTTTTAAGTAAAAGACCCGAAATTTAGGATATTTTCCACAATCTGGCAACACCGATTCGTCGAACGGTATTGTCATATTGTGCAAATATTCCTAATAATATTGAATCTACCGCGGTATAGATGTAGAAGGAACTTTAGAGACGTCTCGAATCTTGCATTTTAATATAAAATGCCCAAAATTTAGGATATTTTCCACAATTTGGCAACGTAGATTCGTCGATCCGGGAACTGACATGGTTATAGTACAGAGGGGACTCGGGTAAACCCAGCATTTTTAGGTGAAATCAAATTTCAGTATTTTTACACTACCCGTCAATGTCGATACGTCTAACGGCGTTGTCAGATCGTGTAAGGATTCCTTAAAATCCCGAAACTGCCTCGGTATAGGTACAGAGATAAATCTAGACGAATCCTGCATTTTTAGGCTAAATAAACACATTTCAGTATTTTTCGTACATTCTGGCAACGTCGATTTGTTGTGCGGGGTTGTCACATAGTGCAAAAATTCCTAAAAACTCCGATTTTGTCTCTACAGGACGAGAATACGGCGGGCGTATGGATAGACAAGAGAAATGTTTTGTCTCGTTTGACATGGCTGTGATAGTTCTTAGAAAAATTATAAACACGGTATCGGAGAAAATTAGAGAGACTGATGGCTATTTTAAACTGATTGAAATTTTTTTGGTATACGATGGAAAGAAAATGTCTATGTGTAAATAAATTTTCTCTATTGAATCATAAAAGTAATTTAGATGTAAATTCGTGTAATAATTTTTTATCTGATCTTTTTTTAATCATAGGTATATAAGACAGGAAGTGATTACTTTTTACTGTTTGAACTGTTTTTTAATTACCTCATCTCATAGAGCTAATGAGTCATATTTCATGAGTATCTATTATACAATTTCTTCAAATATAATTGCATACATAACCAAATCAAATAACAATTATATAAATTACTGTAACCTCACATTATCAAATTCCAAAAACTGAAAAATAACAAATCACGAACCACGTTAATAAACAACAACTACAGTTGTTATAATCGAATTATATGTTTGTTTTCTATTTTAAGGTTATTAATTGAACCATCAGGAGTGTTATGTTATCGGGGTGTTATTTGTGTTAGTATACAGTGAGATTAAATTAAAATTATATCACAGTAGGCGTAGAATTTTGAGTTTTTTATGTCGCTAATTTTCAGATTAATTAACAGATAATAATAAGAAAAAACATGAATAGATTTAAAATATCCTATTATCCAAAAAAATGTGTCATACTAACCTTTGAAATGACAAAAATTGACAAATACTGTGGTATCGTTTTCTTTCAATCATATAGTATATTTCTAATATCCAAAATTTTATAGATCTTATATTTATTATTCTTTGAGCATAACTTTTTGTTAAAAATAATATTGTTTAAGGAGTGTTTTCTAATAATCAATCTATAATATTTTTTAAATTTTCGTTGCCTCAAAAAAGTTTTATGTATTTCTTTAATATGTAATGAAAGTTGATAGTATACGATTTTTTACACAGAAAGATGTAAAAAATAAATGTGACAAGTAAGGAATTCTTTCAAATTATCGTTTTAGTGAAGGTTAAGGAAATGTTTTCTTTAAATCCTCTTCTTGAGCAATGTTTCTGTAGGATCTGACAACATTGTAGAAAAGTGAACATAATGTGAATCTAATTTTGGCCAATACTATACATTTCTGTTTAGATTTTTTTGGTGTTTATATGTTAACAAATATTTTTTTTAATTTTAGACAAATAATATTTATATATTTAGTATTTTGATGTATGCAATTTTGAAAATAAATAATTTATTATTTTAATACACCTTTCGTAGATTTTTATTTATTTTCCCATATCCTCTTTCTTTTAAATTAAGAAGAATTAAGAATCTCTTAAATTAAAATTGATAAAACAATTTCTATTGTTAATTAAAATACAGGATTCACGCAAGATATAAATAAAATGATTTTTTATTCTGCTGTAAAACACCAAGGCTTATTTAAGTTTGTTTAAAAAAGATCCTTATCACTTTTTCTCTTTAATTATTTTAACTTATTAACTACATTTTTTAGTTGAAATAAATGAATTTTAGGATTTCTTATCCGATCCGGCAACATCGATTCGTTAAACGGTGTAGTCAGATTGTGTAAAAAACCCTAAAACTTCCGATGAGTCTGCATTACTCGCAATCCTATAAAATCCATGTCAGGTTTTATCTTTAATATTTTAACTTACTAGATGAAATAAATACATTTTAGGATTATTTGTCCGATCCGGCAACGTCGGTTCGTCATGCGGTGTTATCAGATTATCCAAACATTCCTAAAAACTCTGATTTAGTCCTGGCAGGTCGAGAATACGGTAACCATTTGTTTTAAAAACGTACACGCAATGCTAATATGCATTTTAAAATATTGTCATATAAATATACAGGTGATTCAAATGTCAAAATGTGTCTTATTCTAAAGATCTGTTTTTTTTAATGGATGTGTACATGATTTGTTCATTATAGCATACATTATTGTGGGTTTTCCTTGAAATAACCATTACAAAAAACCACAAGACAAAAATCACCGAGAATCATATCTGATCAGATATATGGCGACCTTGTCGATGCAATCAACGAGAGAATATCGTTTTTATTTACTTTTCCGGATCGATACTTCAGTAAAAAAACAACATACGGTACCTGCATCATGTTCTTAGTCGCTTTAATCTTTTTTTTGGCGGTCGCATCTGCTCATAATCCACCACAGTGCAATAACATTCAAATTGATACCGACACAATCCAAGGACAATGCTGTATCTTCCCAAAAAACTCTCAAGAAAGTGTGGACATCGAGCAACATCTGCAGGAGTATTACGCAAAAGATGGTACGCCTTCTTCAATGCCTTACGGACACCCTATACAGTCAAGACATGATCAAGGAATACCTCTTGGTTCAAGAGAAGACTCAAGAAACAAGAATAATCAAGAAGAAAGTACTACCGTACCTCCAGAAAGCGTAACATTGATTTCACAAGTATCAAAAAGCGGAGAAAATGAAGAAACCTCGACATATGAGACTGGAGACAGAATAGCCATAGATGTTCCAGAAAACGGTTGTCCACTCTGGTTAGATCAAGACCAAGTCAGGGATCCTAGTGGAAAATGTGTTACGAAGTTTTGAAGCACCAAAATGGTTTACGATAAATTTTAAACTTTAATCTTCAAGATATTCGACGGAATAATGAAACCGTAACTTCCAAACTATGTAATTACTGTCATTAATATATAATTTCAGTTATTTGCATTTTATTTTATCATTCATGCATAATATTTTAACTAGAAACCACCCTTACGTATGAAATAAAAAATTAGGATTTACTGATCAATTCGACAACGTCGATTCGTTATGCGGTGTTGTCGGATTGTACAAAAATTCCTTAAAACTTCGATTTTTTAGTGTCTCCAGAAAGAGAATACGGTGGGCCATTCTTTTTAAAAATCTACACGTAATGCCAGTGTGTATTTTAAATATATCTTCTTATAGATATACAGGATGATTCAAATATATCTTTCTTCATTAAAATTCGATTTTTTTACAGTTAATTTTTTTAACGCTGTATATTTTATTTGTTAATTATATCATATACGTTATTGTAGTTTTTCCTTGAAATTACCTTTATAAAAAAAACACAATAAGACATAAAAATCGCCGAGCATTAAATCCGATTATTTAATCAGCGGCAGAATAACGTTTTTTTTTAATTTCCGGTTCGGTACTTCAGTAAAAAACACCAAGCGGTGCCTGCATCATGTTCTTAGTCGTTTTAATGTCGTTTTTGGCGTTCGTATCAGCTGAAAATCCACCAAAGTGCAATAGGATTCAAGTTGATAGCGATAAAGTATATGGTCATTGCTGTATCTTAGCCAAAAATTCTCATGGAGAGGATTTCGAGAAATATCTGCGTAACTACTTCGGAATAGATGATACTTCTTCAGTACCGAACCAAACATTGACTTCGCAAGCAGCAGACCGCCAGAGTATAGCCATAGATGTTCCAGAAAGACGTTGTCCTTCAAAAGATGAAGTGAGGGATCCTAGCGGAAGATGTGTTAAGAAGTTCTGAAGCACCAAAATGGTTTACGTTGAATTTTAAAGAATAATCTTCAAGATTTTCAACAGACCACTGAAACCATGACTTCCAAACTATGTAATTACTGTTATTAATATATAATTTCAGTTATTCGCATTTCTTTTTATCATTCACGCATAATATTTTAACTAGAAACCACCCGAAATAAAAAATTAGGATTTTTTGCCCAACCCGGCAACGTCGGTTCGTCATGCGGTGTTTTCGGATTGTGAAAAAATTCCTTAAAACTCCGATTTAGTCTCTCCAGGACGAGAATACGGTGGACCATTCTTTTGAAAGATGTACACGCAACGCTACTCTATATTTTAAAAATATCTTCCGATAGATATACAGGGTGATTCAAATTAAATTTTTTCTTTATTAAAGTTTGATTTTTTTACGGCTTAAGTAATTTTTTTAATGCTGTGTATTTTATTAGTTAATTATAACCTGCATTATTGTGTTTCTTCCTTGAAATTGAACCATTACAAAAAAAAAACACAACAACACAGGGTTTCTCGTTTATGAGCAGTGGTACAAAGATACGGTTTTCACAGTTGCTACTTTTTTATGAAACTAAAGATGAAAACCGCATCTACCTACTCATAATCGGGAAACTCAGTAAAACACACGAAAATGGAACACCCTGTACAGGGTGTTTAGTACTAAGTTCAGTGTAAAATTAGGTACAGGTATAGGTGTCAGTACAGGGTGAATCAATAATAAAGTCCATTATCTCGTTTGTTTCAAGTTTTACAAAAAATGTTAAATAGAAAAGTTTTAGGCAATGTTACAGCGTTTTCAGATGGAGCGGAGCGTCCGCGACGGACCATCCGCGACTTCGAGCAAGTACCATGAGTTTATATGAAAGATTTCACATGGGTCGCGTATGCTGCGTCCGGAATAGCTATATTAAAAAAAATCCGCGCGGACGCTCCGCGTGTACGGTCCGCTCCATCTGAAAGCGCTGTTAGCATACACAATTCATTTTTTTATATAGATATACATGCATAATATTTTAAATAGAAACCACCCTTATGTACGAAATAAAAAATTAGGATTTTTTGCCCAATCCGGCAACGTCGATTCGTCATGCGGTGTTTTCGGATTGTGAAAAAATTCCTTAAAATCCGATTTAGTCTCTCCGAGGATACGGGAGATCATTCTTTTTAAAAATGTACACGCAATGCTAGTCTATATTTCGATTAAAATTAAAGTTCTCTTTATTAAAGTTCGATTTTTTGCTGTGTATTTTATTAGTTAATTATAGCATACATTATTGTGGTTTTTCCTTGAAATTCAACTATTACAAAAAAAACAAACAAAAAATCGCCGAGCATCAAATCTGACCAGTTGTACGGCGATCTTGCCGATGCAATCAACGGCAGAATAACGTTTTTATTTACTTTTCCGGTTCGGTA